GAGAAAAACTTCGTCTTCTTCTCAAAGTTGCGTCAAAAGCAGACAGGCAGGCAAGTGAGTACGTTATCTCTACTGTTTTGACTTTTTATACCTTTTTTCGAGGGTATTTCCCCAGTTGTTGTCTTGTCTGATGAGATGGAGGATTCTCATTGGGTGTTGGTCCTTGTTTATTTGAGAAACAGACGGCAACAAACTCCGTAAACAGGGTTGCGCAAGTAAGGTGCAAGAACGGCTTTCTTTAGGTATGACGTATGTGTGGAAACCCCCAGGAAATCGTCGAAGTTGAATGACTGCAACTTTTCTTTCTTCGAGAATTTTCTTCGTAGAAATCGGCAAAAGTCAGGAAAAAATCAGGCCATGACACAACTCTGAAACTCGGGACTCGCCTCGCGCTGAGCCCAGTCGATAATTTTTCTCTATTACTCTTTCTATTCTAGTACTCTTTTGAAAAACAGCAAAGACATAAGAATTGATCTTTAATTTTCATAGAATTCATTGTATCCAGTATTAGAGATCTATTAAGCTTTACAGTTTTGTTTTCTATGATGCTTGCTAAAAAAATGAGCCAGTTTTTACGCATGCTCTAGCACATTCCGTATGTCCACGTCACATGCCTCACAGACCACAGCGCTAGTACAAAGGCAGTTCGCCATCTTGAATGAGCAAACAACAAGAAAGAAGGCACACGAGACGCCATTTTTTAAAAACTGAAGGTGACCTAATAAAAGCAGCTAAAAAGACATTTTAGAGGTAAAATCATTGTAATTCAAAGTATTTTACTGGAGTTGCTTACTTCTTGCTATATTTTAGTGTGTTTATGTGTATTTGTGTGTAATTCTGGCAACACTACTTTTACAAAACACCCAAGCCATTAACTTGTGCTGAACAGACTTTATTCACTTCAAAACTTCTTTACAACATAGATCACAGACTGACATAGACTTTGTGAACATAACAATAGTTAAGGTGGAAAAGTTATCAATATGGTAGCAAACCAAATATGACAACAAATCAATCCTTAGTACACATAGAATGTATGCGAATAATACACACTATTGTAGTGTATAAATGTGATTATGCCTCAGGAATATCAAAATCTTTACAGCTTAGCTTGTATTTGTGTCAAATCTACCGACTTTGGACAAATTATTAAATGCAATACACTACAAAATAATCGAAGAACTTAGAATGGCACACCACGTAACAACATGGGATTTAGTATGGGGTTTAGGTCCGTATAAAACAATGGGAAATATCCAAAGTGGAATATAAAGTAGTCAGAATATTTCATGTTTTTCAGAGTCTCTGGACTGTTTCATCCCGTGTGTAACTCTTGTACTCGGCGTTGTGGTGGTGCCAATTATCCATTTTGAAGTTAGCTGGTCTCTGAGAAGGAAACAAAGCCGCCTGAAGCAACTTTTTTGTTGTGACTATTCTTTGAAACAGTGTAGGCTAGGAGATCTTCCTTTTCTGATGAGCTTTGGCGCTTTCTTACAGACACACGATGTAGTCATGTCACATGGTGTCGATGCCGGTGGGGTCTATATACTGTTCTTTCATGTCGAACTTCTTATCGTGACTTCATCCCATGGTAGATCGCTTAAGGGCACATTTACGGCTCGTTGTAAGGCAGAGGGTCGCCGATGACGTGGCAGTAACAGCTTTCCGTCAACTCGTAGAATGGGCCAACGTCTTCGCTAAACCATCTGCACATCTCTGAGAAGTGTGGCGTTTCACGGCTCCCCATTCGCTGTTCACACTTGCACTTCCGTCGTAGGAGTTGAGCTGCCCTTGTGGGTCGCCCTTGGTAGGGATTCCAATACTGCTTATCAGACCTGGGGGCAACGCTGACGTAGCAACATTCCCAGCTGTAGTGCCGTTCAACAGATTTATCGTCATATTCACGTTTCTCAGGTTCGGAACCCAACACATTTCCCATGGCTGCTGAGATTAGTTTTAGCGACTTCGTTCTCTGGAGGTTATGGAAAAGTGCGGAACAACGTCTATTCAAACTACCCGGGTCCAATGACAGTTAGCCACATTGAGAATACCAGCGCTCTACCATATGTGATTGGTTGATATTGTGACGTTACGGTCATGTGTACGTATTTTGATAACGCTTCAATTCACCTGTTGCGTATATCTTCCGCCTACAGTTAGGTATGTAGTACCTCTATTCTGGAAAAGAGCGACTGGCTATCGCCAAAGAGTCAACTGAAAATATTTTGGCCCTGTTGTCAGCTACACAAGTGTGAAGTTCAATACCATTACCAGGGATATATCGATGGAGGCGTCTTTGCCATTTTTTTGCAATGATATGTTCCTGTTAGGGTTTGGTTATATCAGTTTCCAACTATTTGAATTTTCAAGTCATGCTTCCACTTTGGATTTGTTATGTTTATGCCTGAGAAGGCGTATACGTCCTTGAAACTATTGTTTCTACGTTACATAAAACCTTAAAGAAACAAAGTCAAAACGCTTACGATGTGATTATAATACTTTTATTTGCATACACTGCAAAGCTCCAGTGTTTTGTATGTAGACTATGGAGTAGACTAACATTGTAATCTAAGTCAAGAAGCGAACGCACCAGGTTAAAATATGCATGTGTTATTTAAGTGTTTAGTTAACAATACGGTTACACTTGTCCAGGACAGATATGTTGACAGACGTTAACAGGATATTCATCCCTCAGAAAATACTGGTTTGGATGTCTAGTTTCGATTCCGCATATCCAAATAGATAATATAATACTGATATATATGTCAAGGCACGAAGTACATGATATAAATGGCAAACACCACTGTATTGGTCCCAAAATGTTACATGAATTTCCCCTAGAATATTGAGTACATCAACTACTCTATCCATCCATTGGACCAAAGCGACATAAAACTTAACGAATTCAATGATGTAGTTACAGAGAAGAGGTACTAATCAACGCACAGCTGTGTCGCTCACATTTGAGAGGACTATACATACTTCTGAGATATTGGAGGTTCAAACTTCTTGTAACCGTTAATGAAAGTCAGAGTCAGTTGTAGAGTCAGTTGATGGAAGATCTCGGCTTGTTGTGGTGTTTCGAACTCCATTGTGCATAAAGTTCAACTGAACCTGGACTGATATTTCCTGCTATAGTTCTTTGCTCACAATCGGTGGTTTTCGTAAAGGGCGTTTGTACTGTCCGATGTTGAGCCTCTTCAGTGACTTATCGAAAAGATAAATGTCTGTAGTTTCTCCAGATATCCGTAGCGCGCAGAGTGGTTGTGGTGGTTAGTGGCGGTGGGGTCGTCTGGTTGGTCGGCGGCGGGGGAGGTAAGGCTCTCGCTTGTCGTTGAAATTTGCGGGGTGTTCTGCTCCAAAATGGCTTTGACGGGTGGATGGACGTAGCTGTGGCGTGACCGTGGACCCCCGCTAGCTTCCCTTGCCGCCGGTTTTAGGCCACGTTTTAGGCACGGCCTGGCCATAAGTACCGGAGGACTTTCCCGGCTTGCTTACGCGGGAAGGCTCGTTGGTCGCCATGTTGGGCTGGTAGACCTCTCGCCTGACCGGGCCGTCGGTGTAGTCTCCCCGGCTTGGCTCGTTCGTGGACTGGCCGCCTCCCATGGTTCTTGTACAGGTCTTCTTCTGTCTGAGATGCGCCCCTTTGTCTTGATTCTGGCAATTTTCCCCCTTTTTATACGATCCGAAAACAAAGAAAAATCCCCGCAAGACATAATTTTACCAAATATGACGAAGACTTTGAATTCGCCCAGGTGGAGGGTTTCCATTGGTCAACTTTGGCGCGCATCTGTCTTGCTGATGCAAGAAACGCGAACAGACGGGACTTCCCTGCTGATTAACTACCACATGTCACCTGTCACATACCTATCTTCTGGGCGCGAAAAATGCTAAAACAGTTCAATGCAGAAGTGAAGATATTTGTAGTGTTTATGTGTAGATTTGCCAAGATTTTTTACATCAAATTTGTCGATCCGTAAATCCATTCTACTGTCCGTTTCCTTGTGTAGACATTTTTGTTTCCTCTGCTACAACTCGACCATTACCTGCGCGACGGCTCGTTCAACTGGGTCATCGCCGCGTCTGTGTACCGTCCGCAGTCACACTTTCTCACGAGTGCCCATGTGTCGCCTCCCTCGTAATACCCCCTCCATTTACAGGTGATCACTTGAATTCCCTTATAGTGGATTTCATATCCGTCTCCTCTGTGGCCGTACGTATCCAGAAGGTCACTTCGGTCGTCGAACACCCCACAGTAACAAATCCTAACAAGATGTTTCCTGGTGTATACCCTTCCACCAAACTCATTTTTGTCCCATCTCGACACCAGCAGGTTTTTTGCATATCTGCATCTCCCATCCCTGTGTATTTCCACATTAACGTCGTCCTCGTCTTCAGATTGCCTGGAAGGTTCGTTCCGTGGTTTCTGTGCCATTTTTTTCCAGACTTGCCGCTCTCGTTTTAACCCCTCGAATCTACCAGCAGGTAACTTTTTGTTAGTTGCGAAGAGTCATGTGAGGACGGAATGTTTACACGCTCACAGTGATTGACATGGGTTGTCATGGTCACAAGTTCTGCTTCAGCGAAATCTTAAAGATAAAAAATTGATTGACCGATCATAGAGTAAAATATCAGAGTTAAACAACAAGTTCATCTGCCCAACTCTCTAGAGTTTAACAAAAACATAACCATATTTTTACGCAACAAAATTCGTTGTTAAATGAATGCTCAGCTTTGGCCCTATGCTACACACACTGTGACGTTTTAGGACTATTACCAACTGAAGGCTGGGGGCTTCTTTTCCGTTTGTTGCCATGATATTTTCTAGTTGGGGTTTTGGTCATATTAGTTTTCAACTGTTTGCGATTTTCAAGTCATCCTTCAATTTGGGCCCTGTCGTGTTTATGCTTGAGATGAATAGACGGCATGTACACCCTAATAATAATTGTTTCTACATAGCATTAAACACTAGCATTAAAAACAAGTCAAGGCGCTTAAGATGTGGTTACAATGCTTTTATTTCAACACAATTCAAAGCTCCAATGTTTATGTGTAACACACGCTGTAGACTAACATTGGTTGTTGAATACATGAATTGCTTGTAGCAACATTTACAACTGTAGTACAATAAGGCACTAGGTTGGAGTTGGTCATCATAGCTTTTGCAAAAAAGGCATTTTCAATGATTAGTTGGACAGATATGAACAGGGTAAACATTCTACAGAAAATTCAGCTTTGTATGCATTGTGCTGTATCTATTCCATGTATGTAAACAGCATAACAACAATGCCAAAGTACCAAATACAAGATAGGAATTGCAATACCGTCACAGCACACTCATTTCATCAACAGCTCTATCCGTCTATTGAAACAAGCGACAACCCTACCCCATCGTTCTATACACGATAAACTTCAAGCAGAGAGGCACTAAATTTAAATATCGCACAGCTATGTTGCTCACATTTGAAATAAATGTACATAAGTCTGAGATATTAGAGATTGAACCTTCTTGTAAGGAAAGTCAGAGTCAATTGTAGAGCGAATTGTTGGAAGATCTCTGCTTGTGGTGGTGTTTCCGACTCCGGTAATGCATAATGTTCAACTGAACCTGGCCTGATACTAGTTAGTTCATGCTGCTCCCTGGACGGCAAAAACTGTCTGTAGTGTCCAATGTTGAGCCGTGGAAAGTGACCCGTGAAAATGACAAATGTCTGTGGTGTCTCCAGACGCCCGTAGCGCGCTCACAAGTGGTTGTTGGCGGCGCGGTGGTCGTGTTGTTGGGAGAAATCTGGGAAGGTATACGTGGAAGACAAGGATGGCGCTCGTCGTTGTAGTTTGTGGGGTTGTGCAGATCTAAGGCGTCCTCGAGGACTGGATGGAAGTGGGTTGTCGCATGATGACGGACCTCCGCTAGGTTTTCTTGCTGTAGCGGCTACGTTTGCCTCGACGAGACGTTTCGTTGTACGGTTGGTGTGGCGGGTTGTAGGTTTTAGGCTTCGGCTTGCTGTCGGTGTAGTCCCGAGGGCTCGTCTCGTTGGACTCTGCGTTCCCCATATTTCTTGTACAGGTCTTCTTTCTGCGATGCGAGCTTTCGGTCGTCTTGACGTCCTTTTGTTTGTCTTGATTGAGGCAAATTTTCTCCCTTTTTATACATTTGCAAACACAGAAAAATCCCCGCAAGATGTATTTTTACCAAATATGTCATACTTAGGTCGTCACACATGTGGAGGTTTCTGATTGGTCCGTTTGCACATGACACTTGTTGATGCAAGGCAAAGTTACAGGGATTTTCCACTATCAATTTCACGAAATAGAAGTTTCTGTTACTGAACTCGATAAACAAAAAAGTCCTGTTGTGTGTTATCTGTTAGCCGCATGTAGAGCGATGAAAAAAGCGCCATAGTTTAATTGTGTTCGCAGCTTGTTGAAGTCACACCGGAATAATTTTACCAGCTGCTGTGTGCTGACTTTCCTCTGCCACCGCTTGGCCATTAAATTTACCTGCGCGAAGTTTCATTCACCTCGCTCACCTCCCCTTCTGTGTACCGAGCGCAGGTACACTTTCTCACCAGCGCCCACTTCTTTCTCCCCATCCTGTATTTCCTCCACTTACAGTGGAGTACTTCTCCTCGAGTTTTGTGGATTTCGTATCCTTCTCCGTCTTTACCGTTCTTGTTGAGCAGGTAGGCTCTGTCGGTGAACTCTTCGCAGTAGCAGTCGCGAACCAAATGCTTTTTAGTGTAGGACCTATGGCCATATTCATCTTCTGACCACTTTGACACCTTCTCATTTGTAGCGTATTTACACCTTCTGTGTGTGTGCACTTCTATGCCGTCGTCTCCTTCGTAGTCGTCGTCGGATAACCTAGAAGGCTCGTTGTAAGGTCTTTGCGCCATGTTCTCTCAATTGCAAGACCAATCGTACTCACTTTAACCACCAAAGGCTACCCCGTACCTTTTTGTTTGTTGGACTGAGTCATGTGAGATTGGAATGTTTGCGTGATCACAATGACAGTGGTTGCCAAGGTTATATTTTCTGCTTCAGTGAAATTATAAAGAAACATCAGATTGGCTGATCATAGAGTAGCACACAGTTAAACATTGCATCCAGCTGCCCATTGTATTCAACAAATTATAACGAAAAACATAACCATATTTTTACGCAACAAAATCCGTATTTCCAGCTACCTTTGATCCACCATTTTGCTTCGCCGTAGCACCTTTACCCCTAAGTACTGTTCCACCCGTTGGTCCCCTCCCCGTCCGTATACCGGCCGCACTTACACACCCGAACCAGCCAGAACTTCTTCCCTCCCTCCGTGTATTTCCGCCAGCTACAGTGGCCGTAGTGAACCTCGTACCCTTCCATGTTCTGTCCGTACGTGTTCAGGAGATACCGACGGTCCGGGAACTTCCCACAGTAACACACACGCACAAGGTGCCGTAGGAGAAATACCTGCCGCCCAGTCTCGTCTTCTCTCCATTTGGAGACCATCTCGTTGGTGGCGTATTTACAACGTTTGTCCCGGTGAGTTTCCTCGCTGTCTTCTTCGTCTTCACTCCCAGAGTGACTCGGTTCGTTCCAGGCTTGCGCCATTTTCATGCCAAAGATATTCAGGGCCCGTTTAGTGGACCAAAATGTTAATATAATTACGTTTTCCTGTCCTACCATCATGCCTCCTTTCTCTCCTTTTTAAAAGGAAAAACTCCATGTTTGCGATTCTAATCTATGTTCGATATCCGCACTGTTTGCCGCCATAATGATCCAAGAGAAACGGAAGAGTCAGAAATATAATATTTGATAGTACCCGACGCATGGGATTATAAGCTAATCTCCCATCAACGAAATCTCCCAATACAAAACGCAAATTCAAACTGTTATAACATGAATTTATTGACAATACTGTAGTCTATCATTTGGTGACAAAATTGAACGAAATATGTAAGCGAACGTTTGAGACTGATTATAAATCCATGACGCTGTTTCCAGCACTGCCCCTGCTCAATTCTGCAAAACTGTCATGGCCGCCGCCTTCTTCCACAAAATTACCCGCCCGCCCCAGTCAACCGCCGTCCGCCATTTTCCCTTTGCCCGTGTTGACTACATTGCCGTGCGGCACGTCTACGTGTACCCGCCCCCTTTGCTTAGAACGCCTGTGTTCCTTCCCGCCACCGTAAGTACGTATTCTGGTACAATTTTCCGTTTGTATGCCTTACCATTATTTCTACTGAAACGAATCTACATTTGTAGTGTGGTATTTATTCCATTTTACCCAAGTAGACTGTCTGATATAAAGATCTGTTCATTTTCGTTGTCGAAATGACAGATTCTAGGCGCCAATTTTACTACACTGGTACTGTTGTAGTGTGATTTCCATTCTTAGTCACGAAAACGGGAATCCGGTAGTCCTTTCAAGCCAAGTCAATTTTTTATTTGTCTCAATATTGCCTTTCCTACATTTCCACCATGTCATTTCTACAGTGCACTGTCCCACTACATATACGTGCTGTTTAACCCAAAATAGCCTCCAACTCCCCATATGTGGTTTGTATCCCACCTTAAAAATTAAAGCTACCTCGCCACGAAATGCTCCTAATTATTTCTGCGACTATGTCCCATAGCCATATTTGCTGATCATACCGTAGAATACGGTGCCAACTATAGTGCATTTTCCCCCGACACCATTTTACTCCATGACTTCTGTTAAATAATACACACCCAAAATATGGCCGCTAGCCCGGTGAGCACACCGCCATCTTTGTCTTCTCCCTTTAGAAAGCTACCCTGCCTTAACGTGTCCTGCCGACCGTGCCTGTACGAGTGCTAGTACCCCTCCATATATGTGTGGGCTATGTAGTATACCGCGTGCTTGTCACCGATACTCCCCACTTCCCTATCGCTCAAATACCATACCTGTCATTATTATAAGAAGGAACCGATAATTTAGCCTAAACTTGCCTGTCCTGTTAAATTCGCCTAGACTGTGGCAAGGAGATATATCCACTATATGTGTTTTGGGGGTATAGTAAGTGTCTACATTTTCTAAAACAAATATCCATACCTTATCTTATAGTATGTGGTATGAGTTATACTTTTCGACCCAAATAACTTCTATTAATTTCCGCTCACTAAATGTATGTTCATGACCTACGTTAGATTCAATTCAATAAAAACCGCCACCTTGTCCGATAATCTACCCTTCCTGCGTCCGGTTCTGCCCAGCCCATTACTATTAATGGCGGAACATTTCCTACATATTGTTGTATCCAGTCGGTACGTGTTGTTATTTCTAACCCCGCCATCTTGGTTCGGAGAGAAACCCCTGGCCTCTCAAATCAGTCCACGCTTGCCTCCTTTCCACTCGTCGGCGGAACCCCTTCCTCGCCCCGCCGGCGCTGGCGAGCCGCCCTGCCCACGCCCCTGGTATATTACCTAGCACGCAATCACCTGTAACAGTCGTGAACAAGAGGCCCGCGCGACGCGCCGCCCTGTAATTGTGGTAAGCTAAGACCTACATTTTGTACTTCTGTGTTCTTCCCCAATCTTTACCAGCGACGCCTTTATTCAATCTATACAAAGGCGACGTTGCTTGGTCCCTCTTCTGCTATTGTCTGAGCTTGCGATCAAACAGGATATTATGGCGTCCACTGTTTTGAGACAGGTATGTCTGGTACGATTTCTTCTAAAAGGCCGGCTAATCAACCAAAATGTACCCTCTTATGTACGTCTACCCTCACACAAGGCCTCGTGTCTGTAGACATCCGTGTACATAATGTGCCTACAGTGTTCTTGAAACCTTTACAAAATACGTGTACATTATGTTAGGTAGGCTAGCACTCTCCCGCCATAATAATATAGAGTATTAAAATATGTCCGTGTCACTCCTGTCTTTAGTAAATAGGATATACTATAGCCACTGTAACAGCAGTAACACTTCTGCATTTGGGGTTAATGAAAGCACTGACTGTGCCCCTGTGACACCCTAGATACTAGAAATAATGTCCACATTCTTTAACAGTTTGAACACAGCTGAGATATGCAACACGACATTTGTTTTCCTCAGTCCACAATCCATACACTACCGAGGCAAGGGTAATATCTTAAAGTGCCCGTGTGGAGAGGCGTGGGCGGGTTGGGGCATGTCTGAACGTGTTTTATATTCACCCATCATGTTCTCTACACGTATGCCATCCCTGTATCTTATCCCCAATACTCCTCTGTCAAATGAACTCTGGCGCCGTCACCTTTCTCTGTGTATTTCACCCGAGATTATTGGACCTGTCTCAACAACTCAGAGGTGCCCTTAATGTTTAATGTTTAACATGCCCTGCATAGCACAGGCCCCCGTCTGGGGTACTTGTTCATTCTTCTTACAGATTAATCCATGTATATTATATGTAGTTTCTCTGATGAAATATAGATCTAGAATCTCTCCAACACATACGAGTACATAACATTCATAAGTCTGTATACTTTAGACATTAACATCATGGATGTACTATGCCTGTACTGCCCCTACTGCTGTTAGATAGTGCTGTTAATACCTCATATGACCTGCCGTATGTGCAATGTTCTGTCGTACTCAGGCTAATTACATTTGTCACTGGAACCCTTTTAAAGGTTACTCCCTTAAGCGTTTTTATAATCGGTTTCCCCATCCCCAATCTACTGACATGATAAAATCGACGTGTCACGCAAATAGGTCCACAGGGCCACCTCTTTCTTCAATGCATTCTAGGTGAAACATACGACGTGACTCTGAAAATATTGGACGTCCAAAACAGTTCCCCAAATGCATGCATATGGAATACCTTTACCCTTTCAAAACATGTTCTTTTGTAGCAAAGATATAAATTCAAACTAAATTTTGTATATTTTTAATGCACGGGCACGCTACATGTTCAATACATATTTTGCAATAGAATCAACGGAGTGTAAGACAAGCTTTTTGACAGATATGAGTACGCCCTGACTGCACAATGGTCCTGTATCAGCTATCTCAGGCTGTAGAAAGTGTTTTATTCTGCCAGGTTGTTTCTGGCTTGCAAACGCTGAAAATCAATACGTGTAGGAGGGCTGAGTGCATGGGGCCCTCAGCTTGTCGAGGGGAAACTTTGGACTGTGGATATATTTTACAAGTAGCAGTTGGTTAGCATAGACAATTTTGAGACCACAATTTTGTTACGGACGCTACACCTATAGGCTAATACAGAAGGGTATTATATGTTTGATCTCATATAATTTTCTTGATTATGAGGTGAACAGAAGTTCTGGGCATTTTTGCATGCCCTACCGCGCACCCCATGCCCTTGGTCTTGTGTTAGACCCAGTCCTGATGTTTGTTTTCAGTTTATCTCTAATCCAAGTCAGCTGTGCAGTGTGTCGTTATCCTGCCAAGCTTCGTCTATATTCAGATAAGACCCTTTTCGGTACCGTGTCCGTATTCATAGATGTAAGACCTAAAGGCAGCGTGTGTGCAGGACTTAGCAATACATCCTGCCACGTTGGCCAGCTTATAATGTACATGTAGCTCGCTGAGAGCCTTGCCTTATCCGTGAGGCCCCCACTTCTGTATAACCTAAAGAGGGCCCCCGTACGTGTGATACCCGACACGCTGGAGCTAGGGTGAATTTTGGCATGTTTAGCTTTCCCCCGATCCTCACTAAGACTGTGGCAGCTGGTATTGATACAGGCCAGACCTTTTCTGCCTTTCAAGTTGTAAATGTTTCTGTTGGTAAGGATAAGAAAGGAAACGCTGACAGGTCTGTATGGTGGAATGATTTATAGTCACTGCATGCCTCGACCCATTAACAGGTCCTATTATTGCCCCGGTTTTGCGCCACTGAATATGGTCTATGTGCAGTGTTTTTGGACAAACATAGGTAACTGGACATGTAACAATTAACACATTAACACCTCAAACATAGATATGCCTGATGGTCACTCTCTTCCTGTATCTAATGTCCATTTATATTCAGTGTCCATCCCTTGTTAGTTTGACCACTGCCCCTCGAGTAATCTATGGTCGATGTCCGCTCACACATTGATCAGTGTCTGTACGTGCCGTCTCCTTGGTGATCCTTCGTCATACCTGTCAGAATACTGGATAGTTTGATTGATCGTATAGACGCTACAGAGGTAGTATACAAGTCACTAGTGCCGAAGGCCATAGAGTTTATTAATTTGTCTGGAAAAACTTTGAAGCCGTTTTTCTATTTTATGGGTTGCTTGTCAATCGACGACATGTCGGACATTGCGTCTGTCTGTGAAAAGACGAGAACACGTCGTCGGTGGGAAAGGATTAAGGTTGTTTGCACTTCTATCCGCTCCAGAAATGAGTAGTTTTGTACTGCGAAGTAGAATCACCCCACGGGGCCCCTCTTGCAACATGCACCACATGCCCTGACCTTTCCATGGTTGGACGAAAACACCTGGTTCGATTGCATCTAGACCACTCCCCCCGTCACATGTCCTGTTTTCTACATTCTTCAGTGATGCGTTCATCGATGTTTTCATCAGCTATTTCTATAGACTTGGGTAATTTTGAAACGTCACTGCTGGTTTCTATTTGTTCAGCCTGAGGTAAGAAACTTTCCGTGGCTTAAACAGGGGTTTGGGGATTGCCACTACGTCATGCGAAACTTCTGGAAGGTTCTTGAGGACCGGCTGGAACAGGTTTAGACCAGCGGCGACAGCTGAGGTCACGTCTGAAGCATTTAGGGGAACCACGCGACGTCAGTGACACGAGTGTTTGTGTGACATTGCGAAACGGGGGGCCGTCCGTCCATTAAGTCCTTTGAAAAGAAGGCATTCAGCGCTTTTAATTGAGGCGTATAGTCTTTCGCGTCTTTGGCCAGCTTTACCATTGACTATTGCTGACCTTTGACCTTAAAAGCATATGTAAACAACGCCAGGTATTCTCAGTACCCCCCCACGATTAAAAAATGTGACAAGAGTAATTACCATGGCCCCATAAGGAGGGGGTTTCCTTCACATGATCACCATGTGACCTCTGTCCTTGGTGCTGATTGGTTGTTAGTGCATATTTAACCGCCGGGCGCATGACCATGTATGGTGAAATCTCCACCTACTCGACCCTTGTCAAGGTTGAATTGAAGAGATATTCCGTGTCAAGGATAATGTTTACAGTGCTGCCGATGCCCTTTGGTGGTTTCTATGCAGGGTAACTCAGGCGGGGCTGGTAAGGCGAGACAGACGGGGTGAGTTAGGGTGTCTGGACTGTCGGTGTGTTCTCCCGTGTATAGTCTAGGCTTAATCGACTAATACAGGGACTTTTCAACATAGGAAAGGACTTCTTCTAACCCCACGGTACCTCAAGTATGTTAAACTTGTTTTTAACTTGGATAGGGCTTCTGATTTCTTTGTGTATCATTGTGTATTTTTGATTATTTGCAGGGATACTGTTGTGATTAATGTGTCTATACTGCCCCCCTACACGGGGCACTGCATACAAAAGATACAATGGCGCTAAGTTTGCAAGCCACAAAAGTTGAAAGGAAAATATCGCGTGAGATCTGAAAAAGCTTCTGGGGCTTAAAATAGGTCGTAATTTCATTGTTGTCGTTCATAGTAGAACGGTTGGCCCATTATATGATACCCAGGGATCTGTACTGACCAGGTATAGCCTTTACTCAGGTGTGTTTACCTGTGTAGCCTAGCTCTGTTGACAGCAGGTGTGCACAGCTGTGCTTGTTTTAAAAATCTTCCCAGTCTGGAGGCGAGTGCAGAGGTCGCTTCTCTTAAGGATCTGGTACAATATGTACTGTAAGATGTCTAATACAAGCAACTGTCTACAGATCAAAGTTTATTATCCGCTCTGCAAACATGCGGTATTTGTAGAACCTGTTATCTTGTTGTCTTTGTTTGCTATCGTTCCTTACTGGCGTGTCTTGAAATCATCTTTATTCTAGAAAAGTAGAATCAGATTGTTGACTGCATATTTTGTAATATTTACAGTAAAATGTTCTACGTTGTTCTTTACCACCCTTGTGTCATGACCCTGGGTCACTTCAGTAAGTTACATGTGTGATCATTGGCTGATGCTGAACGTTTCGAATCGACAGACCTTATCTTAATAATCCTTCCGTGAGATTGTGATCAATGACTTTTAGCGTAGAGTTGGTGAAACGGTTTACGCTGACAACGATTCTGGACGCAAACATATGATTTTCTAGTCACATATTATATAATTGTCTTCAAAGGAAAGACAGAAATGTTTGGGTGGGGTTTAGCTGGCCACTATCCTGACTGGGTTATTGCAAACATTGTACGAGTATCATCCACGTAATAGGTTTACGGTACCACACTCCATCGGATAATACTGTGGAGTCTTGTTAAGGCAATTATATCACTGGCGTTTTTGCATTCACTTCTGTAAAATGCCCCATATAAGGATCGTAGTCGTATGTTCCTGTTTTAGAGGAATCGTAGTTCCTCTTCTCCATTTAGGAGTATGTCTGAGTGGTTTTGTTCCCATTTCCCTTTACTGATTCAGGTTCCTTTTTTTGCGTTAATATACATGTATCGCCTGTGATCTTACTTAGTGCAGCTGAATATAGTCGAGTGAATGTCTGTTCAACGTGCAGTACTAGTGTAAGAGGTAATAATGTATATGCTATAGGTTTAACTATCGTCAGTGGATTTCTACTTAGTGTCCTTCTCCTAATCATATACATTCCATTATATTAGTCTCAACCCCATTTGCACTATGTACTTTGCTATATGCTCTCTATATGTTTCCAGCTTAGAGTACCATTTCAATAGAAAATCTAAATGTGTTTCTAACTATCAGAACCATGCTTGTTACTGCAGATTGACCCCACCGTTCCGCGATGATAGGACCGGATCAGCCCCCAGACACAGAGCTACAGGGCGATGACCCCCACGCCAGGGAACGAGAGCTCCACAGCAGGGAACGAGAGTTCCAGCTGGCCATGGCCTGTCTGCTCACCTCTCCTGTCATGAATGAAGTAGAGAGGAGGCCGAAGAGGAAAGGTAAAGGCCAAATTGTTTTTTAAACTTATTTTCCACAATAAACAAGCATTCAATGATTAACAAATAGAACCTCCTAATTGCAGTCAACAGAAATTGAACATAAATACTACCACGAACTAATAAGTACATGAGTAAAGGAATAAAGTATGTATTTTGCTTCAAAAAGTTCCAAAAAGATTAACAAAGGTCAAATTGTTTACTGTTTGTTGTGAATCTTAATTCAATACAGTAATATATTTGTAAAGGTTGGAGGATATGACACCATCATAGTTTGAAGTGCAGTATCATCACCGAATGTAGACAGAAGGTGTATATTTTGTATGGCCCCATTTTCGACACGCACAGAAAGTGTTATATTTGATGATTGTATACTTTTGAGCTGTTTTGTCACGACTGTGCTAATAATTTTAATTCTAAATCTCAGATCGTGTAAAACGACTCAAGAAAAAGAGGAAGAGCAAAGGCAGGAAGAAAAACCTCGCTCAGCAAACCGGAGATCCAACCAACACAGCAAGAACCAGCAGATAGCAAACAGAACATTAACAGTGCACTGTAAATAGTTTTTGACAAATGTATTTTGATGCTCGATTTTCCATTTTTGTACAACAAAGAGTAATGTATATTCTGACATTGTAACAGTCATATGAGGGAACTTTGTGCTAGAAAATCAGAACTTGCCCCTCTCTCAAATATTTGAATCATTCATTGGTATAAAATGATTTATGTGTATAAAATGATTTATATCAATACAGATAAGATATTCTCGTCCATGTGATACTCTATCTTGATAGCCAGCTCAACAGGTCCTTCCAATCCGATATGGCGGTAAAAATAGCACAGCCCCGCAAGCCACGTCATCAGGGGTTAGCAGAGCCAGCTAATCAAGCGGCGACAGTTGAACTTCTAACCGTTAACACGATCGATGCTGCCCGGTACAGGCAGGGGGGGGGGGATCAGACTTCCTGGGTAATGCTGTTAGCAAAGACCGGGGCCGGCTGTTCACTCGTGTTATATAGACTGCTCGGTAAGGGAATTGTTATCGATGTGGAGGTTGATTGTGGACGCTTGAACGCTGGGAATCTATCAGACTATCCATAAAACTGATTAGTGGAGGAAAGGTACATCCACAGCCGTGCTCTCTGACTGATCGCACTTAGTTTGTATCTACGTAAAAAGACGCTATGATTACGTTGCCTGTTGTACATTTTATGGATATGTGTAAAGCTTTTGTAGATTTATTTTATTTCAGTTGTAGCACTCAAAACGTTTCCAGTTTCTGATATTTCGAAGTGTTTAGTACACTGTTGCATCATAAGTAATCACGACGGAATAAAAACATGTGAAGTAACGTCAAATTCAGGAGTGTGTCATAATGATATTAATCAACTTTTAATAGTAGGGATGCTCTGTATCTTGATGCAGAAAATTAGAGAAGTACTAGAATCTCTTCTTGTTTCTCATTCGCACAACACATAATATAGTAGCCGATACACGACTTCCGAAAAAAATGAGAAGTGAAACCTGGCATTAGTTTAGAGTACGAAGAAGGGAGGCAATACAAGAGGCTTTCTCAAAAATATAGGAACTGGAATATTTCTACTGTGATTCTGGTTTAAAGACAGGCAAGCAAAGCGTAAAAATGGAATAGCCCTTATAAACGATATTCATTACTAATAGGAAAACGACAGTTACCGTTTAAGTAAGTTCGTACAATGAAGATGCAACAGGTAGACGTAATGACAGTAACGAAGAAGACATTAAGGGACATTAAATTAACCTGACGACAGAGTAGTTCTGGTTATTTCGCGAGGTCATAATAAAGGTATGCCTAACTCGTTGAAAGAGTTAGGCATACCTTGGCCTCTACCAACAGGTGGCCATCGTGTGAAGAGATTCTGCCTAACTCATTGACCGCCTAACTGCTTGCCTGGTTGGGTGCAAGGCACAATCGTCAAGCCTCCCTAACTTTCCAATCTAGTATTTGAGTATGAGTGTTATTGCTGTGTACATGTACGTGGATGTAGGTCACCACTGAGTATCTGTGATGAGGGAGATAGGTAACCACTACAACACACCAAAAAACAACTCACGCTGTATGAAAGACAAAAACACATACTTGGCACTATATATCAGAAATATAATTATCTGTTGGTACATATTCTTCTCCATTCAAATTTTAAACACACACATTCTGGTATATCACTGCATTGTAAAATATCAGACAGATTATACACTTAACTGTGCATTAAAACACATCTGGCTTTAGCCTTCTTTCCACAATTAACAAAACGGCAAAACTAGCCACTCTTCTGTATACTTAAGTCTTGGCAGAATACATTTGGAAGATAAGAGCTAATGAAATACATGTATCATCACACTTCTCTTTTGGCACTTATTTCTCTATACAACTGCATGGCTTTATAGTCCAGGCACTGGACCAATCACTGATTATTCACAATCCTCTTCAAATCCTAGTGGCAAATATCTGAGTAGTAGATAAATTCAAATCATAGCAGCATTTGTGGCAACTTCATCAATTAATTAGCTTCAAATCATCAAAAAAACTTTAGCAATTCATAGTCCTCACCAACTAATTAGACAAAATGCTATGAACCACAATGATTTGTTGACTACTAGTAATCAGTGGTCCTAGCAGTATTTGCCTGTGTTAATATGGCTATATGTGAATTCTGCATTTATAAGGAAGAAACAAACAGCAGGAGGTAAGAAATGTTATGGCTCATACTGTGTCATACTGCAATCTAAATCACACTTGTAGATAAAGCCAATACAGCCATCATGGCAAGTCCTATAAACAGCAATTTATGGTCTAAATTGTAGTCTAAATTTTTGTGTTGGAAATAACATTACAGTTCAATTTTTTGTGTTGGAAATGATATTACAGTTCAAACCTGTAACTCATTATTTTCAGCTTGGCAACATATGTTCTTTTTTCATCTTTTCTGCATCTCCAACAACATGGCGAACGCTACTCCATATGCAGCGTCCCCACAGGTCGTCTTCGAGTATATCAGGGGGATGTCGTACGCCCGCTCCAACTCCTCCTGTATGATGGGGTTTCTCGTCAGGGCGCTTCCCGTTCCCACGATCCTCTGCACGCCACACTCGGTGAGGAACTCGCGTGGCATCATGGCGTGCAGGTTGGCCACGATGCCCTTACAGAGCGAGCGCGTGACCTGCCCCACACTGAGACGGTCGATGGTCGCGTTGGACACGGACGCCCGCTGGTCCGGGGCATGGCGCTCGCCGAAGATGGTGGGGACGACGGTGAGCGGGGTGTCACCGGACGACTGGGCACACGCCAGGAGACGCTCGTACAGCTGGTCCTCCTGTATGGACGGGATTCCTGGGGACGGGAAGGATAGAAGGGTGTTACAATTTATATAAACCAAGATCTCCATGTACACTATGCTTTTCTCAATTGAATATGACATGAGGTTGTCATTGACATGGTTCTTCTGCTAAGGCACAACTTCATCACTTTCTACAAGTCCTCTTTGACTTGAATTTTGTTTGTGCCATGTTGACAGTGACAATAATAATACTTGTTGTATGTTGACATTTTGGATACATACAAGTTTCCTTTTATACGGCACACAGCAGTAGATATCTTACAGCTATAGAAACATGGGAGTTGAATCAATCACACATTCTATCAACTGGGCACATTATGTTGAATAATGTCTTTTGAGAAGACCTAACAATCTCATCAGCCATACCTCCATACACAATGTCAACAATGCATTTAGATAAAGGTTGACAATCTCCGGCCATTCTATGAATAAAGGCCACCTAATAGCCAATGAGCTGTCATGATTCTGCAATTCAGCCAATAGGCTAAAGTGATTCTATCCCAAATAAATAATTTGTCGTCGTCATCATCGAGACCATTCCTGGCTGACTCCAGCTCTACCCCAGCCTTACCCAGATCCTGGAGCCAGCTCTGGATCATCTTGACGAAGCAGGCGAGTGCGTTCCCCCCGGTCAGCGCGGCAGCCACGGCCAGGTACCTCCCGCTGAAGTATGGGTAGTACTGTACCGGGGAGGAGGGGTCAGCGGCAGGCGGCAGGAACCCGGGGGTCATCTGGAACGCCAGCTGGGCAGACGTACCGATGTTCAGGACTGGGGAAAATAACAACAGGTTGGAAGGGAAAGCTTAGTTTAGCCTTGATAATAGCTATCACTATTTGGGCAACCCTGGCTGGTCATGTAACATGTTCCTGCTGAACCAATAGATTATAAAAGAAGGAAAAGTTTTATTTTCATTGAACATATTGCTTATGAGTTAGATGAGTGTCTTCACAGTTATTTATAAACTAGATTAGTATCGTAGAGTTGTTAGTTATTAGCAACAGTGAGCATGTCTTCATCTATTGAAGAAGACCATAATATCAGGTTCTGTATGTATAGGCATGTATGTTCCTTGTTTTGGAGAAAAATACAGCTTATACCTGTGTCATATTCCTGGACCAAAACCTTTTACAATCATCCTCTGATGTCAAAATATTTACTTCATTCCTGACCTTCATGGTTATCATAACAGACCTCATCTTTTCAAACAAAACTTTGAGCTATTGTCAGACAAGCCTTATCGAATTAAACAACATAGCTTCAGTAACAGATCCTCAGCTGGCATGTTCATAATATTCCCAGTAAATGGCTCATTACCTGCAGTGTTGTCACTTCTGTTTCCTGAGTTTAATACATATAGGTAATGATTTCTACAGCATTTGTCAGGGTAGGTTTATTTTTTTTAACCACAGCTAATGGAATATCGGGTAGCAGTCAGAAAAATGTATGTCATAACTTAAGCTACAATACTTAAGCTACATCAACACACTGACTACGGAAAGTTTCGAGACCAAATAAACTTTATTGCACAACAACACAGACGACTGCTACCCAACCCTTGTGTCAGGTAACCTCACTGCAGTATAATCAAAGAGTGAGTGAACTGTACAAGGTGCAAAGCATGGCATGGTACATACTACAGTTCCATTAAGGCTCATCTACCTAATACAGGAGTGTGTAGTATGGGATGAGTATACGAGTGATTGCCATGACGTCACAGACGTAGGCAAAAGGTAGGTGTCATGGTCTAAGGTGGAAGACGGTTGGCTGACGTGCCTACCAATATATAATTTGCATGTATATGATGTGAACAAAAGCAGTGATTGCTCGTATGAGATGAGAATGCACTTAGAATGGGATCAAAATGTAGTATGTAAGAGAATATAGTATAGGATGAGAACCAGGGCTTTACCTGCATCCCCCCTCTGTACCAGACTAGGTAGTACAGAACACTGCAGGTCCCCCAGGGCCACGCCAACATCAATGCGGGGAGGTACACAGCACCAGGGCTGCCTCAGGGTCCCCGCTACCTCTCCTGGGTCCAGCACACGGGGCAGGACATCGCACGGGAAGCCTGCCTCCTCCAGACTGGGGAATAGTAGATGCACAATGGTGCCGTCAGCAAAATGCATTAAGATGGTATTTCTAATTAAAGTCTGTGCTCCAAGTTATACACATAGGTACAGTTAAAAAGTAAAGTAAAGGCAAAGTAGCTATCGTCATTTGGGTTGAAGCATCAGGTGCTTTTTCAAGTACCTACTCTACAAGTGCAATGGAGCTTTTGTAGCCAAGCACACTGGTTTACCACTGTGATATTACCTTCTTTCCCATTCTAACCACAAAATTCTTCTCTGCATCAATATTCATGTCACATAATTTGGTTGATCATTATGCCACAAGAGCTACATCTAGAGCTTATGATCATCTTGAGCTATCTACCAGCAACATATTACCATAACAGTTGTCATTGCCTTATCTCAAGAGGTCCTTACATTTCCTTGTTCCACAGCCGGCTGCCACAGTCGAAGTACCCCCAGCTAGCGGCGTTGTGTACAGACATGACGGGGAGTTCCATCCCACACAACATCGCCACCACGTAGTCCATCACCGTCCCTGCCCGGTCAAACCCCTCCAGAGCCTCCGGCATGTTCCTGGCCAGCCACAGCAGCGTCGCACAGCCGTTGCCCGTGGCAACCGGGAGGTGCGCGCGGGGTTTGGGGATGGTCTGGAGGAACTCCGAGGTGCAGCGGCCATCTTGCCAGGTGTAGAGGCGGCTGACCTTCCCCGTTTGGAAGCGGTGGGACATCGGGGAGTAGCGCCAGCCCTCCCGGGCCCGCCACAGCATCACCCCGTGCATCTGCCCGGACACTCCGATGCGCGTCACCCCCAGAGAGAGCTCCTCTGGGATCTTTTCCACGCAGTCCTGCAGGCAGGACAGAATCTTGCCGACATCTTGTTCGTCTCCGCGCGGGTCTGTTGGGAACTCCACCGTCGCCCCGGTCTCTCGAGTCGTGGAAAAAACGGTCGTGGAAGAGTCCATGTCCACTAAGGAAACCTTGACGGACGTTGTGCCCATGTCAATGCCGAGTATCGTGCGGTACGGGGCGGAAACACCCCTGTACGGGCTCGGAACGTCCACCGGGGCAGCCATGTTGATGATGATGAAGGTCACGCCCACCTGTTGGGGCCACCTGTTCCCTGCCCATGCACCTGTTTGATGGACACCTGTTTTCATGTTGTGGGTTGGCGAGATTTGGGGGACTTCTTTGAAAGTTTTTGGTAATTTGCAAGGGTTCAAAAGGGGTGGACACCCAAGTGTTCTAGTTGGGGCAAAGCTCAAATGATTGATTTTGAAAGCTAGTGCGTGTTTCGTTTCGAGTTTTCTAACGTTTAACGTTGTTACTATCTGGCAGCCATGTTGGACTGACCTTGACAGTTGATAGCTATATAAAGGATGGATAATGATATGCAGGATGGGAAACTTGTATTTTTATAACATACTAGCCGTATTTTACGTGTTGGGGATAGTGAAGTTTGGTCTGTTAAAGACTGCGGTTTCACTAAGCCCCCCCCCCCCCATTGCATACTGACCCAGTGAGGATGACTTTTTCTACACTAAACGGTGACTTTTTGCCTAACTTCAGTGACGGGTAACGTTACGTGCGTGTTGGTAATCATCCTATTTTTGTTTTGTTTTCTGAGCGATACTTAGTATTTGTCTCTACTCAGTGTGGCTCAAATAAGGGTTTTCAGCCGGCTAGAGTTAACGTTAGAATTCAACTTTTATTTCAACACAAAACACAAAACCTATCGGTACATAAAGATAGATGACTTTTGATTGACATGTAAACAGATATGCAATGCACGTATACAGATATGCAATACATGTTAACTGCTATGCAACACATCCTTAAACTGTATTCAAGTTTGCGTTAATTTGTATGCAATATCAATATAACATGATACATAACTTATACCAATGAATAAGTCCATTTTACATTTGAGCCGGCGCGGGCCTAGTCGTAAGTTATAAAGTCGAATTAACAACATAACTTTGGCGAGTATCAACATGGTACTAGTACAATACATAATTTACATAAACGTTTTATACTGTATGGCAAACTGGCAATGCCACGATTTTTGTCACACTGACGCTTAAAACTTTAATAAAAGCCAGAACAACGCCAAAAAAAAGCTAAGTACAATAATAAGAGGTATACGATTTACATAAACGCCTTCTAATGAATGCTTTATCAGCAAATCAGCAAATTTTGCATCGTGAACATCAAAGATAAGGAACAGCAAAACTAGACGAGATACAATCATATCAGCGCAACTCGTGTATCGTGGCGCAACACATGTGCACACAGCTTACAGAGAAACAACTTTAGCAAAGTAATACTAATGAATTCACGGAAGACAAATAAGCAATTTCACAAAACAATCATCAGCAACTTAATTAACTAATGATACATTGATAATCTTAAAGAGTTAGACCTTCACAAAACAGGCGTGATGAACCTTACCAAATACTAATCAGAAAGTTCACAAAATATGCACGAACAATTCACAAAGGATTAATGCGACTCCAGGAGAAAAAAAAAAGAAGATTCCATAATTAGGCAGTGAAATTAAAGTGATGTGACTTTCTGACTTAAACTAAAGTTCCGTCGTTCAAGAAAATTAATACCGTAAACAAATACTAACCTGCTCAAATATACGGAGCTAGCCTCTACCAGGCTTCAGGAGGCGGCTATAAACACTAAAACTTGACCAAATAGACAGATAATATGTCAGGAGAGTTGGCCCCGGGCCATCAACTCCCCTGACATCATGTCTATTGGGTCATGGCAATTTCTACCCTTTCCAGCCACTTCCCGAAGCATAGCAGAGGCTAATACAGTATGTGTGGAACAACAGATTGCTGCCCTAGGCCGCGTTCCTCCCGCAGTTGAGACGGAACAGCCTGGCGAACCCGTCCCGGAATCTCTTGTTCATGAGCCCGTACACCAGCGGGTTGCAGCAGCTGTTGAAGTACCCCAGCACCAGGGACACCACCTTCACCGCCCTGGGCACGTGCATGGAGCCGATGACCTTTAAATAATAATAACAATAATAATATTTATTGCCTTATTCGAAATGTACATCAGCAGGGGGGAGCACAACTAGCCTGGGTACCATCCGGGTTAGTTAACGTCCGCTCCCACAGTTAATACATATGACCAGTGGTTGGTCGGTAGCGACTGTGGGAGTGGACGTTAACTAACCAGGATGGTACCCAGGCTAGAGCACAACTGCATCCCACGAAATTGGGTACAATTTCTCACAACAAAATTTTAAGAAGCAATACATGTACATCTAAATAAAGTATATACAAAGACACATACAAAGTTATTAAAATATACACAATGTTGCGTCTAGGTCAAGTTACTGTTATACAAAGTACAGAGTAGATTTCAGACCTGTCCCATGGTGGTGATGGCGTAGGGAGACCAGCACACCATGAACACCAGGATCACCACCAGCAGGGACCGGGTCAGGGCAGCCTCCTCCTTCCGCTGCCTCTTCTTTATTCTGTAAGCGAAATGTGGTGGAAGTAGATTTACGGTCGAGGCGAGCTGATTTTGAGGTGTGTGTGTGTGTGTGTGTGGGGGGGGGTAGGGAGGCGTTCGCGGTTGATACAAACATGTGAATCACATGAGTTTATGTGAGTTTGTAAGACAGTGGAAGAACATCATTCATCAATTGCAACTTCACCTGTCAAATACAGAAAATGCTGGAAAAGACATTCTGTAAACTTATACCTGTTACGTAGACGATTGCGGTGTCTGTCGCAGGAGTTTGCCGCCATCTCCGAGTCGTCTTCGTCCGCCCTGTCCCCGGCTGGAACCTCGTCGTCTTTCGGACTGTTCACTGTGATGGTCAGGTCGCAGTCGAACGCCACGGCTCCGTGCTTCCGGTTCGGCCGCGCGCTTTTCTTCTCGTTCAGCGGCGAAACTTCGTTTTCTATCGCTCGAGGCTTGGTCCCGATGGGCTTCCGGTCACCACTGTCTTTTCTATCCGAGGAACTGTCGCATGAGATCGCTACTTCAATGCAACCGTCTGACTGTCTGTCTTTGAATGTGTCATCAGCAGGACAACCGTTGGCGTTGCCTTCTCGGGTGGTATCTGTGTTGGTGTTGCCAGCAACGCCTTGCCTTGTGGAGTACCAACAGGTGCTTGTTTCGTGGTTGTTGAAGAAAACGACGGTCTGCGTGGTTTTTGGTGGCTTTGTTGTTTCGTGTGAGGACTGTTGCGGAGATCTTATGGAACAGCGACTTGTACTTTTGGGGGTCAGGGAAGTGACTGACTTGTCTAGGGTCGCTTCCTGACTCTGCCGCCGCTGGTTTCTCGTCGGCGATCCGCCCAACTTGCGCCGGTTTTTCTTGTACCTGGTAACAAAGAGCAGTAATATAATTGACATAGGATAGCATGTAAAGACATTTCATCCTTTTTCATCAAGTTTTAAATGACTTTCTTGTCTGCAGTAGCACATCGATGTTCCGAGACAGTGACACCAACAAGTTGGTTAATATCTGTCCCTAATCTCCGATTGTCAATTTGTCACTGTCTTCACAGACACCAAAAGATCTGCGGTGATTGGTTCTTATGTTGTGGTCACAATTCCCACATGGGGCCCGGCCGTAACGAAATGTACCATATAAAAGACAACAAAACACAATTTTTTTAAATTATCATGGGCACTAATTCTGTATTTTCTTGATATTAATTGTTAATTTTTCGCTCATACAAACAGCCCGGCCGGGCCCCGGTTTGGAAATGTGACCTAAGCATTACCTTCGCCAGATGCCGACGTAACAGCCCGTCATGGCCGTGCTGGGCAGGCAGAAACCCATGGTGAACATGAAGACGGTGTAGCCGGGGTGGTCCGCCCACGAGCAGAAACAGAACGACTGGTCCGCCATGAAGCTGTACTTCGCCCAGCCGAACAGCGGAGGCAGCGAACAACCGATAGAAAACACCCAGACACCTGCACAATAAAACAAATAAACAAACATACAAACAAACAAAACACAAACAGCTTTAGAGCCTTCCATGGAATTTTATACATAGGGGTTTCATTACTGGTATATCCCCTTTTTTGGTGCAGAAAGTTTGAGGTTGATGTGTTTTGCCCTCTAAATATCAGGTTATCGACATTTCAACTGACAGTTGGTACCGGCATCGCTTACGTAAAGGCCTATCGCCGCTATTCCCACAGACGCAGGAGAAAAGGCTGTGGATGGCGCAGGAATTTGACTCCCTGATAAGAAACAGAAGCCGTGGTAAAAAAATTCAAAGGAAAGAAAATTGAAAAGCGTGTTCTTTAAAGGTTAGATTATCAAAGTGATCCACTCGACCTACGGGCTTCCACAGGAAGCTTCAGGTTTCTATTTCAATTAAGCTTTGACATCTCAGTACTTACATGTACATCAAGGTTCTGAATACCATATACCGTACTTTGACGCCAGGTCCAGCTGACGTAAATGTAAAGCTAAGAGACCTCCCCCTCTGGCTTCTAGTAATTGAATTGAAAATAGATACCACTGCAGTCTTTGTGTAGGGCATCAGCAAATGCAATTAGCTCCTTTCCCCCCGAGCTCTCCATCCTGCCCCACTTACCTGTGATGATGACTGCAGTGTTTACCGGTGTGTAGATCTTTGTGTATTTCACCGGATGAACAATCATGAAATACCTGCAAGTATACACACAGATATCATGTTTAATGGTCTTAAGACACAACACAAAATATTACACACACAAAATTTTATCTTAGCAAAGGTAACCCTGGGGGAAACATATCCACAATTGTCTGGCAATAGTTATTAAAAAGTTACTAGTTTTTAAATTCCAGATCACCCCTCCTGTCTTTAATGGAACGGCCCAAAGGAAACTCGGGGACATTGACGCTGCAGAGGGTCATCAACCCGTGAATGTTTGCCTGTAAGTAACCTCGCTTCCTGCCGGAGTTGTTCTAGTTTGTCTGGCGTACTGAAACGTGAGCGTCGTCGTCACCGCCATAGTGTATGTTTTAGAAGGTGTGTGTTTGTTCCACACTCCGCGATGCAGACAGCAGTGGTCATATTTCCTTGTCCGTAGGCCACGAGTTCCTTTTCAAACGGCATGAGTGTAGCGCGCGGTAGTCTGGAGGCTAAGACTTTCGTTACCGATCCCCCAGATCTAGGTTTTTGAGCCAAACAGTCAGATCATCTCTTGTTCTGCCGCCGTGTTAAAAGGATTAGTGCATATTCCTTTATACGTAGCTGATAGGTTTCTTTTCAAAGGGCATGAGTGAGGCCTGTGGGGGTTTGGTGGCCCAGAAGTTACTAACAGGCGTTTGATCCTAGCTGCCAGATCCTTGTTCTGCTGCCTCGTCGATAGCAAGGCTATGTTACCCTCACCTTTACCTAACCATAAGCTTTACCGTCCAGCTTCCCCCAGTGTGTGGCATTCGATCCTACCTGTGGGGGTTCTGTGCTATTTGCACTCTACTGACATTTCATGATTCCTGAGGAGGGTGCGTTAAACCATTGGTATTATGTTTATGAAGAGCTATACACTGAGTAGATGCTAGAGAACCTGCCACACTATCAATTAAAAAGGGGGTATGTCCCGGTATGCAGCTTAAAGCGTATCAATTTCTAACTCACGAACTTAAGGCCGCGTGTACGCCAAGGGAACAGACAAGATAAAGAGTTACCTCATGTGTAGAGACAGCGATCTTTTTTGTTCTCTAGATATCATAGAAACTAATGTTAGAATCATGTTTATATTCCGTACACACATGAACTCCTTATCGTCGGTTGCGCACGTCGCTCGCGCTTCCGGCTAGATCCGTCCTGATGTGCCGCCGACACGGTTAAAAGGGTTAGGGAGTCCCCACAGACGGCCGGCGTCTACATGTTGCATAAAGGGCGAATTTTGTTTTTGTTCTTCCTCAGAGAGGCTTCTACATCATATCCTACGGTCGTTCATCTTCCGATTAGAGGAAAGCTGTCATGTTTCATGTTTGAGTGTTGTGACGAAAACGTGTATCTATCATTGGTACTGATGTGATGTCAAGAACAGTGCAAATGGATAGAAATAAAGGCAATGGATGTAGCTCAAACATTAACTAGAATAGGTGTATTACTTAGGACGGATTATATAGTTTTATTCATTAAGTGCTGAAAAATTAATCTTCTTTATCAGTTCCTCCCATTAATTCTTCACGTCCTCTTCATGATCCTGAATGTTTTTTTTCTTTATCGTGACAACGTACAACTGAAAATGCATCAGCTTTGTTCGGAGAACCAATTACTGCAACTCGGAGAGCAGTCATGTCTAGAATTTTCCGGAATATCAGTGTAGAGATCGCTTTCATGTCCTTGGGAATATTGTACGTCTTGACCTTGGGTGACCTTGCGGATGTTGGTGGTGCATTTGCGCCCCAGAAGGTCAGGTGGTCGTCTCTGAAAGCGACTGATAAACCCGTCTGCTCGCACAAACACAAAGAGGTACGTGATTTCACACAGCAGCCGATAGAAGGGCTCACAAGTATTCATCGTTACTTAGTCTCTCGCTGTCGCTTTCCACCTTATGGGCTAACCACTGAGGTTAATGTTATGGATGACATCCTCTGAAGACACCCAAACTAGTGTGCGCGGGCGAATAAAAAAACGCCCCCCCCCCCATATGCAGCTAAACCACAGAAATACAAAGCTGGTATTGTGAAATGCTGTGGTACATGGCGACTTTTACAGGCCGGCACATGCTGGCATTTATGAGTCGGCACTGTTCTGATTTCTTGAGTTCTGTGAAGCCTCTTCAGCCTGGGTGCCGTCCTCCGTAGTTACTGCCGGCTGCCTATTGTCGCTAGCTATCACGGAGGATGACACCAAGGTCAGAGCCTCGGAGGAGGTGATTTTTATTAGAGAGAACAGGCGAAATTCAATGCGCGCGCGGATGTCGGTGTGGACTTACTCAGTCTCTCGCCGTCGCTTCCCACCTTATGGGCTAACCGCTAAGGTTACTGTCGGCCAGGGGCTCACCGTGTGAATCCGCTTTGTGGAAGGGAATATTCCTGACAATCTTCTTATTCTTTTTTCAATCATCTTTGCTCTACTGTCTTACACGGATCGACATCCTGCTTTATGAAGGGATTATCCGGAGGCCACACTAAGCAGGAAACATTCAAGCAGAGAGTTTTGTTACTTTATCTTACAGAACAGCGTCTACGCCTATAAAGCTGGGTGGCACAACAATCCGCCGAGTACAAATGGAAGCATCAGAAATTAAACCCAGAGAAATGAGAACTGCCCCAGTTGTATACATCCTGTTAAGGAGGCTCGCTAGGACTTAATAAATTGTTAAGAATGTCAAAGAGTTGGTAAGGCCACTGGAGACAGACTAGATTCCATAGTAATCTAGAACAAGTCTTAATACTTTAATTAAATAGCATGCATGGGTTGGTGCTATATATTTCTTTTGTACTTTTCCAAGGTTTTGCTAGTAATTTTTATGGTCTATATACATATTACAGACATTAATCGCACATATAAAAGTGGCGCATTCGGTACAGACATATATTTTTTATAAAAAAAAACACCCGATATGATTTGACATGATGATAGCTTATTAGGCTTTTCATTTTGTCCCATGATGTGTAGTAAGCTATCAATAAGTTATGATAACGCCAGTTGACTTTGCGATGATTTAATTTGAAGTTATTTTTTCTTGCCAGGCGATAGAATTATCTGGGTCATTTAGCCTGTCTATATGTACCTATTTCATTTACTAGTACTTCCTTAAAAGCACGTACATGCATGTATGGGAAACGTCCCACGTGGTGACGGCGTTTATACATGTGAGGTGGAGATTTAATGTTGAATAATTCAGTGTCGTTAAACAACCAAGCAGTTGTTTAAAACTCCATGTCAAAACTTGCGTGTAAGGTCAGAATGGTAAAAACGCTCTCGGGTCCAAAAGCACTTACATGTGCTGCTTTTCTGTAATATTGAATTTGTACTGCAATATAGAAATAGCCGTAATGTACTTTGGGCATCCGAGAGATGGAAATAGCAGTAGAAATAGTAATCATACAGAAAAGAGTCGTAAAAGGTATAAATATGATCGTTGTATGAATTTACTGTTCACGATTTTTTTCATAGTTTTGCTCGTTGTTATTCTAGTGTACTATTAGAGTCATTTGTAAATTGCTTGTATTGCTACATGTATGTATATATTGTATTGTAAACAAGGACTCCAGGAAGATTAGTATACAATTTTGTATCACTAATGAAGATTCTAAATAAATAAATAAACAATAAATAGATAAATCAGCCGGCTCCTACCTGTTGACACTGATGGCAGCCAGAGACGTGGTGCTTGTGACAAACGTCACCATGTTGAAGAAGCCGAGGACCTGACAGAAGGTGTCGCCGAGGTGCCAGCCGGCCTGCAGGACCGCCGTCACGGTGAAGGGCAGGTTCAGCGCGATGACCAGGATGTCCGCCCCGCTCAGGCACAGGATGAAGTAGTTAGACGCCTTGCGGAGGTCTCCGTTCCTCAGCACCACGATCCACAGCGCCACGTTCCCCACCAGAGTCAGGGCGAAGATCAGGAGGAGAACCAGGACTTCTGTGACGACCTCCGCTTGGGAGGCTTCGGGGAGAACGGCGAGGGACGAGGTATCGTTTTCGTGAGCGCTCGGGGTTGTAGACACGTTAGCTGGAAGGTCCATGGCTAACGTATGGAGCTGCGTGCTCCAAACCACTAGGGAACTGTTTGTAAAAATGGAGGGAGAAAGAGAGAAGACGTAATACCAGGTTGGATTACTGTACTTCCACAAAATGTTCGTACAAGGCTAAAGGTTTAGGTCTAACTTACATCTGCAGGCTTGCCGCATGAGGCTGGAGCGGCTTTCAGGGCTTAATTTGGCAGCGATTGCAGGCAAATCGCACGGCATGAGATCAAAGTCAATACTTCAGCGTGTACGCATTTGCTGTATAACCGGCAAGTCAATATTGATAAACTCCGATGAGAGTGCGACAAGCGTTACGTTGGAGAAAACCGGCTGTTTTCACTGGCAGGAGAAGATAATCCGAGCCTCAGGTGGGCAGATCGCTTTTAATGGTGTCAGCGGCTCGTCATTATCCCTGGTCTTGATTCGGTATCAGCCGAGTTACGGCGTTTCTCCGGAAATCACCACGGCAGCATGTCAACACTGATCAGGTAATCTTCTTCAACCGGATGTAGGTCAGGACCAGCGCATTAAACATGTTCTTTAGGCTTTTCATACGTCTTTCTAGAGGTCAGTTTTCTTTAGCATTCCCTACATTTGCCAGCAATCACACCAGGCAAATGGAGTGGGATAGAGAAGATTTTTATTTTATTTTTTAAATTTTATTCACATGGATTTTTGAGCATTGGATAGGAAGCACTTGTTGTGCTTATGTAAATCCGCTGCTCATAAAACATAAAACAAATGTAAACATAAAGATGACATAAAGTATAACATAAACATGAAATGAAAGTGCAGATGCATGCCAGTAAAAAGATGTATAATTTTAGCTTAGAACACACTGAGCCGAATCGTGCTTGGAGATAAAATCTTATGGGTTGTAGAAGATCCAAATTGTTTGTTTGATTGCTTGTTGTTTGAATGCACATACGTAACAGTATCTACAAATCAAATCTAACATCATATAAGCGAAAGCCTTATCATTAGGCGTTCCCTGTGTCCTCCCTCGTTTGCTACTATTAGCTTTGATGTCATAAACACCTGTTTTTTCCTAGAACAGTGTCTTCACTTCATAACATTAAGAAACGCCTACGATGTAACGAAAGCTTCCATTGATCATGCAGACAGACGGTGGCTGTCCTTGGTGCTGACAGCTAATCTTCTAATAGCTAATGCTCAATTTCATCTACTTGTATAATCCACTCCTGTGTGATTTCAACTTACATCGAGCACAATGATACAATCTAGGGCACAGCCCTTTTAATTGGGAAAGAACGAAGTAAAAAAATAAGGCGTAACTAGTGTAATTCTATGATAGCGTATTGACATGCATCAACTGCCATGACGCTGTTACGTTACGACACTTATCTGATATTTTACTGTTATCTACTGTGTTACTGATAGTTGCATTTAATTGACACGCATCAAAGAAGATGGTAATGAACCACCCACCATAGACATCTACATGATACATCGCTGAAATCAAGCTGAACGCTTCAGTACTTAGGCCACACCAATTTAATTTGTTGGTTCACGGATTCGCCCGCTTCATTTTTTCTGATTTGCAAAACAAACAAAAAAATTCACCCTCAGAATCAACTACAAAATGCCATTTTTTGGCCACAATTAGTTACATGTATAAGAAATTCCTTCTGTTCAGAGTTGTTGCGGTTTTTCCATCTATCAATGCAGTGGTTTGATTAAAAGTATTAAATTTATTGCTTGAATTACGAACCGGCCTGGCTCCTACGTACCATAGCATTTAGGGCTATCATAGGATGCCAAAGTCTGTTTTTATTTTTATCTTTTTCGCCCTGTCACTTCATATTTTTTCTGAAAAAAAATCCGAGTATCAACAAATAAAATTAGTGTGGCCTTAGAATGCACCTTGCGGTGCAAATCCTACCCAATCTCACTCTAAGCCGCCAAGTGTCACGTATTTCTGTTCTGACTGTTATTGAGAAAGACAACCGTGAACTGTTGCATTATCACCGCATTACGTTTTGTGTCTTGTCATCGCGGAATTTTCGTGAATGAAATTCACGAAAGGCTTCTTCTGTTCCTTATAGTACACGATAACACAAATGCGGAACGAGAGGGAATTAGACATACCTCCGTGTTTCTTAGCGATTCCAGCACCCCGCGTCAGCCTGTGTTACGCACTGCAACCCTACTCATCACATGTACGGGTCATACTCGCCTTAGAACCATCGAGAAGGAGCTGCTGGAATAAAGACCAATCACTGGGCGGTATTCCAGCCTGTTTTACACAATCTCTTGATGCTAATTGGCCACCTCCTTAGGCTTGCCAGTCAGTCCAGCGGGCGGCTAGGAGCGAGGTTTAGCCAGGGTTTGCGTTAGTACATCGTGCAATCTCCAAGCAGATCTTTCAGTGGCGACAAAGCTACAGTATAGTAACTGCGGTCAAGACAAGGTCCGTGGAGCTGCTTTTGGCCGGCAGTTACTAATTTGCCACCGGTAGATTTTTCTGGAGATTAGGAAGACTGACATTTCCTTTGAGGGTTACTGAAAATGCTCTTTCTAACCTTGATCATGAGCAGAGTGAACGGCTAAAACATGTTTTGCATGTAAAACATTGTTATTCCTGTCCACAACAACATCTCCGGAGTACGTACGTGTGCTTGTTGAACCCACGATGGACCTGCACTCAAGAGGCGAGCTACGAGTGGGTTACATAAGGTTTTCTATCTAAAAGTGCACGAGCTCTGGCTGCTTCAAAGAGTGTTTTGATAGCCGTAAAGAAGGAGGCGTAAGCTGTTTTTCCTCTCCATCTATCTTGTCCTTACATCCGGTGATTACACATGAAATAACTCCAGGGAGACCAGTCAGACATACCGGGAATTCAGAACTGGCACAGTTAGGAGAAAAAGCGCGGGGATGGAATTTTATCTCGACTATAGCTAGCATGGTTATAGTATCTGGAGCGGCAGATGCTGTGCACAGTATAGTCATAGCATAACGGGTTAAGGAAAATCATAATCTCGCCATCTGTAGCACTTTCCAGCAGTAGCATGGGAATTTGATGCGTGACACAACAACTCAACCAGGTCAACCTTACATTCTGGTACGGACGCAGAATAGCTGAAACCTGCTAGTAGACGCATGCAGCCTACTGAATACTACTGTTAGGGTGGGGCTAGAATGTCCCCAGAGGAAAACGGATATTACCTTTCACGTTATATGATATATAGACATATATTTATATCAACAACTACAGATACGCCCAGGTAAAAATGAGTACCTAGCTTTGGTCAGGTGTCCCTCGGATAGAACATCAAACGGAGGTCCCGTGTTTGGGGGAGCCACACCCTACGCACATTGCAGAACCTACTACATCTTTCGAAAAAGAGTAGGGGTATGTCCATGTGTTCGATGGTCCAAATACTTCTATCTGCAAATTTTGTGATTCACGTGCACTACAAATCACCCGGACGGAGGCCTGGCGAACTCCCGTCTCGTATTAGCCACACGCGTACGGTAGATTTATATAATCACCCCCTAAATACGCGAACATACCAAAGCCGCTTTGCACTAGTAGCTGCTTGAAAAAAGCATCATGCTTCACTTCCGAGATCATCAGAAGAGGAAGAATACAGACGAGACATAACGTTACACCCAGGAAAAACATACTCACGTAGACGCTGAGAGGCAGAAATGTGAATGCGTGTCTCTATATATACTCCCCAAATATCATAAATATCAATTTGAAAACACTCGGCTAGCTACCGAGAGAGGAACATACCTGAAAGGCGTCTGTACAGGCGTACTCCTCCCTGCACAGCCAGATTGTGACTCCGGTACTCTTCATGCAGCGCCTTTTCTTTAATGTTTAACACAATCATATCGGTTTATTGCTACTGAAGCGTCCTAGTGGAACCCTCTGGCACATCTGAGGTGCCAAATTACACGGCCTTCAAGCCTCCAGGTGAGGGACTAGCGGTACTTTTATCACCATACGGCGTCTAATTACAGTAAGTTGTAACACTTAAAGAAAAAACGGTCGCGCTGATTCAAGCTAAATACACTATGCCTCAGGCATAAACACTGCTCATGATATGTGCGCACAGAGCTGTGTGAGTAACTAACACCCAAAGGCATGTATTTCTTGTAAATCAAGCTGCTGTTAGATTGGTGTTATTTGTTTGGATCAACGGCCGTTGGTTTCCAGATTTTCAGAACATTCTCTCCCAGACAAAACAGTAAAAACATACATGAAAACTGTCCAGGGCATGACAACAAGAGTCGCGAAAACAAACTAACAATTTTTTTCTTTAACCTAAGGCCACACCAAGTAAATTTTATGGATGACGTCCTTTGGAGACCCTAAATCTAATGCGAGAGGGCGAAAGAAAAACAAGAAAGGCCCTAAAAAACAAGATGCCTAGATTAGAAATATACTATGAGACGACAAATATTAGGACACGAATTGATTGAGGTGACACAGTGTAACAAGCAAGAAGTCTTTTATTCATCATCAAAACAGCAATAAATCAGGTGGAACCGTGGACAGTGAAAACAGGATGGTAATAGACACTTTCTTCTACGGGTTTCACGTCAATCTGACGACTTGAGGCACTGTCGTGACTCTTTGGTCATAGTTACAGGAAGCGGAATTTCTTGTTTTTTTTCTAGGAACATGCCAAAATCAATGCGCGCGTGGACGTCATCCATAAAATTTACTTGGTGTGGCCTAAAGTAAAAACTTGTTTTGGGGATGAGCGATGACATTTGATAGGTCTCCAAGCTATCGAGGTCATCGATTGGATGATGACGATGGCCAGAAAATGTGAAAATAATCTGTTTCAGTTTCAGTTTATTTTGCACTTTAAAACAAAATGTAACAATACAAATACAAGAAAATATAAATGAAATGTAACAGTGCAGGGAGGCCGGAAGCATAAAATGCTTATGAGGAGGCCTCCCTTCATAACGTGATTAACAATTCAAATCAATCGGATAAATAAGAAATAACTTAGGTAACGGGTAAATAAACAAAACAATAAAATACAATACGATACAATACTATCTACAATAATGAAAAATAGTAATGAAAGTAGTAAACAAGGAAACATAAACAAAAATTAGGAATGTGTGGGGTTATCTGTAAACCAGCAAATTAAATTGGTTTCACCTAACACTGACCAGGCAGCTTTCATCTTACATTTACACTGCTTCGTGACATGTACAGATCCTCTATTTTCTCCCCAATTAGTCTCTCATACATCATTGCAGATCTACTTAATTAAAATTACTCGTCAAATTAAACACGATCAGAGCAGTCACGATTACCAAGATTACACCGTTTGAACACGGATGAAAGACATGCGCACTTGTCGGTATGTACGTATATTCGTCTTGTTCTAGAAATGTCGGCTCACCTCAGATCTCCGGTCCTTTCGGAGGACTGGCCTTAATTGGGTACAAATGATTGATCTCTGGCTTTATTAACACATGGCAACGTGTAAGAAACACACTTTGGGGTTATCTTTTAAGCAATCTGTAGACTGTCTGACGTCATTGAGCAACACACTTTGATACACGTTGATAAGGGCAACCGTTATGTAAAAAATATAATGCTACAATGTCTTACGTTAGAAATTCTCTTTTACTGTGTAGAATTTAAGATTTTAAACTGGTAGTTGAACGAAACCCTCATACAAATCACATGCTGTTGTTAAACTAATGTAATATTCCTTATGCTAAGGTCACATTTCCACTGAACCGGAACCCGGGCGGGGTGTTTGCATGAACAAAAGATTAACATTTCATATAAAGTAGTGCTCATGGTTAATTTTTTCAACATTTTTGTGTTTCGTTGTCTTTTAGATAATACTTGTCTCTTCCATAACTGTTCAGCTCACGTTGGGAATTGGGACCTTGGAATTAATAGGCAATACCCTTCATTTACATGATATTGTAGACTGCACAGGTCGATACTTACGAGAATTAACTGTTCAACAGTATCTGTGCTGGTACCCATAGCCCTCTTACAGCACCAGGGTACATATTATATCAAACACCTGTAAGTGCGCATCTAGATTCTAATGCATGCAAACCACTGCGTCCTCTGATCATACTTCATGCAGATCACATTCAGGTCGTTGTGTGGCGCTGTTGAATCTCATTCAAGTTGGCGACATGTACGTACTATGTAAAATTAGATTTGTCAGTAATAGTGGAATATTGAAGATTCACTTCACAAGTCTGACCAAATTGGTGGAAAAAAAATCAATTTTGTGCGTGTTAGCATGGGTGAAATGGTCCACTGTGTAACAGGTCAAAGGTCAGATGACCCACAATCAACATGGCGGACAAGGTCACAGGTAGAAGGTGCATTTCTTCGATTCCCGGTAAATGGTAAGATCCGTGAGGTTAATAAAGATGACCCAACCCCAGAAGAGCGCCATCAGAGTAGGTAAAACTACGATTTTGTCCGAGATTGTGACAATACATTTTGTTACTGAGGGGGAGGCTAGGGAAGCACCGGTAAAACTACTGAGCTGGCATCCTCGATTGTTGCTGTCCAGATCAACACTTGCTAACCTTGGTCGATTGTGAGATGTGGTGCTCAGCAGTGTACGGAACTGACTTATCCTGCCATTTAGCGTTGGCAGATTATGATGATGACCTGGGAACCTAGTCTGTGCTGATGTTACCTAATGTTGAGTCACTATTGGATCATTTTAACGATAAGAAAGGAAGAATTCACTCATGATCAATGCACATGTACATGCCCTTGTTCTGTTCTTTGGTTTACATGATAAATTAGTTATACAAATCCAGAGACTAATGCTAACTAATCATAGCACCATATCCATAGTTATTGTCATATCCTTCAATACTTAACTTTAGAGTAATTACAACACATAATTAAATGGTTTTAGGTTATGGATCAAAGACGATGTCTGAATTCAGAGGCTAGACAAAAATCACTTTAGGGTAATACTGAAGGGTATGAATGTTATAACTTATGCCCTAAATTGCCCTTTATATAACGTTACATATGATGCCACCGTTGCCGTCGATATCAAAATTTTACATAGAATTCTGGTATTTTCAACCAGTCCAATAATATTTGTTATATAATGTCCATGCAGTAAGTTCTTTAATAGACATCTAAATATTTTACGTTCACTGTCACGCTACGTTACATAAATTTACGTGTCTTTTACGTATATTCTCGTCACAAGAGAAAGCCCTTTGCAATAGCCTTACATTTCCTGTGCAGTCCTTGCCGTATGATGATCATGCATTTCCTGAATCAATAAATAGCTAGCTTATAGTTAAACAAATGTATGTTGAACAGATGATCACAGCTCTATGATACCACCGTAACGAAACGCTATGAGGCGAATGTCTTCTGTAGCACTTGCAGGCTGCTACTGGAGGCTGTGAGTATTGTGAGTGGGGAGGGCGCCAGTCGGCTCATCAGGGTGCCACCGGGCCTGGAGGACAGGAGACCAGGAGTCGTCCCCGTTGTGTTCCTCCGGACCATGTTTCTTTAGGAAAGAGAAAGGAAATCAATTGGTAAGACATGAAAAATGATTGTACTTAAAAGCTTTATATGTTGCCATGAGTGCTACGTAGCTTTTTGGTTGTGAAAGTTATGTCAAACAACAAACAAAGGGCCTATAATTGCAAAATTTACTTCGATTTATATAAAGAAAATTTGTGACGTCTTGTTACCTTTTTTGTTTAGTAGTGTGCGAGATGCTGGTTGGTTGGCTGTTTGAGCGGTTATTTCGGCCCTTGGAGTGTGAGTGAGAGTGCCCCTTGACTCTATCCTTCAGCTGATGCGCACGGTCATGAGCTCGCTCTCTTTTTCTGTCCAGCCGATCCTTGATGTGATGTCTGCGTTCTCTGTGGCGTTCAACGATGTGTTGTGCTGAACTGTCGATTCGGTCCTTGATGTGATGAGCACGTTCCTTGTTTCGGTCCACCATTTGGTGAGCGCGGTCACGATGTCGGTCTACCGCCTGGCGGAGTTTGCTGGGGTGGTGCACATGTTTTTCTGCATTTTCCTTAGGAATATGTTCACGGTGACCGTTTGAATTAGTCTCCACATCTCCGTCGTAAGAATTTCCCCCTTTGTTTCTTGGCCTGTCTTTTGAATAAGAGCGGTTGTGCCTGTTCTTTGGAACCCTAGCACCGTGTCCACTGTTGTTGTGATCATGCACGTGTGTTCTATGTGACCTTCTGCCGTCGTTTTGATCCCCGGTGCGTTTGCGTTCGTACAGTTTTTGAGTCGAGCCGCCGCTCTGTTCGCGTTGAATGCTGTTGGGTTTTAAAGTTTGTCCGTGGCCAACGTCTCTGTGATTAGTGTTCGACCTCTTCAGCCTGTGTCGTGGAGAGGGACTGCCAGGGTTTGACGTCCTTTCCGAACGCTCAGTGTTTTTCTGCGTCTCTACATCCAACCTTCCGTTGTGTTCTACAGGTTTGCTCTGTGCTGGTTGCTTTGTCGGATGACGCTCGTTGTGTCGATGGTCGACTTTGTCGTTGGTTCTTCTGACATTGCCGTCTACCTCGTCTTTCGGTGGGCGTTTGTTGACTTCGAGATCTGTCAGTGTCTTGTCGGCCTCATCTGTGGAAACCTGTTGCTTCTTGTTTTTGCTATTCTCGGGAAGGTAGCGAGCGCACCACTCTTCAACATGCCTGTCGAATTTAGACTCACCATTCCCTTCTTCTGCCCCAAACCTGAAAAAGAGAGAAATACAATCTTTCAGTACATCATTTTTGGGGGGGTTTCCAGAGGATGTCACCCATATAATCAAATCAACATGGCCTAACTAGAAGAACAGAGGTCAGCGTTATGCGCTTCCCTGAGGTCACATATGACGCCATTTTGTTCTGACGTCGACTACCTTGTTGGCTATCAACAGATCTGACCTTAGACTGCTGCTCTCCCCAGGCTAGGAATCTACCACTTCTGCTGAAGTACCGCCGGGCCTTAAAGCCATTGTCTGTCCATAATTTTCATTCTTCACTGATCATTACGTGCTTAAACCATTCAGCGATCCATAAAATTTAATGGTGTTGGCCTTTCTTTTGAAAATGATGCGGAATGAAGCGAATATTTGGTTGTGCATTAGTTACTATGGCTTTATGGTGAAAATGACGCTGTTTTCAGAAATAGCCGTAAATGGTGAACAAAGACCCTGTTTTGTTGACGCACGTTAGTGACTGAAATAATCCTTCGTCGCCTTAAGCGCCAATGACAAAAGGTCACTAATTACTGGTCCGACCAGTTTGTTTCACCTCTCGGGTCACATGTTAGAACATGTGGTAAGCTGCAGTAAGTCTGTAAGAGTTTCACACGCGGTGCCCGAGGTAGTAAATACAGAACAACAAACCTGCATGGGCCCAGACTCAAACTGAGTACTGTCGTACAATCACCGTACGATTACGAACTAAGGACATTCTTTCGATAGCCGTGTACGTGTAATGCAAAATCAGGATGTCTTGTCACGGAATTTACTGCCGCAAAGTAATATTAATCTTCTCGGCGGTTGGTTCTGTCACAGCCTGATTGAAAATTCCTCGGCATGAAAATCTTACGACCACCTACGACGATTGTGACCGCGCCATCACCTCATTCCTACCCACACGCGTTCATGTAATATGCAACATATCTAGTCACCCCCTCTCGTCTATTAGAAGGGAAGAGGGAGAGAGGTTGCCTCCGATTTAAGGTAATACGTACGACTGAATCTGGCGCATAATGTACTTCGCCCCCTCCCAATGTCTTTGCCACTCACCTGTCTCTTGCTTTCTCTGCAAGGTTGTGTATGGACAGCGATGAGCAGCCCAGGTCGGGACAGCTGCTGTACAGGGATCTGTTCGAACACAGGTGCCCAGCTGAACGCCGTAATGTCAAGGTCGCCGAGTCGAGTGACTTGGGTTGTGGCTTCGCGTCTTTTGTTCGCTTAGGTCTCCCATCAGCATTTTGAGACTTTTTCCCTTTTGTTGGATATACTGGGGCTGGGACCGAAAGATATTTTGAATTCTGCGGTACGCTAAGCATGGATTCATAGTTTGAGTGTTCCTCAGCTGAAGGGACCCTCATACTTTGCTGTCGTACAAGACGGCTCGGCGACCCTGGTCTTAACCTTGATCGGGCCTGTTTAGCTTTAGCCGTCGTAGAATCCCGCTTGATCTGTTTTGAATCCAAAGATCGCGATCTCTTCCGTTGCGAAGCGAATGTATCATCATCAGGGTCTAGATGTTTGTCGGTTTGCGGTGTGTGAGAAACCATCGAAGTACCCATGGAGTTTGACCGGCTTCGCCGAGACACGTCATCGAAATTTCGGTGACCTTTATCAGTCATTTTGGCCATGGGCGCCACCATTTTTGTTTTTCCACTTCTCAAGTCTTCAGCCGCAGAGCTATTGGCGGTACGGTTAGTTGGTGAATCGCGATCAGAGGCAGACTTTCCGGACGGTATGTATTCCTCATCAGAAGAGACGAAGAAGCCATGTTTTCGGCCCACGAATGGAGTCTTAGGTCTCTTACCTATTGACCTCGCGGAGGACAGTTCCATTTCATACTCGCTGTCCCCAAATTCAGAACGCTCCTCATCAGAAGAGTACCCGTCATTCTGCACCACTGTAGGTTGGCTGCGACTGACTCTACAGTCTTCACACGCGCAAGCTTGGTCAAAAGCTCGGCTCAGGGCCGATTCGTACTCACAGGCACTTTGTACGTGTTCAAAAGACGTCGACCAGTCTGGCTTCCGAGAAGCAGGCCTGCAGTTGTTCGGCATGGACCCCATGTGGTGGTTTTCTTCATGACGTGTTGTCTGTACGCAGTGTAGGTCTTCCTCAGACGAGTAAAGCTGCACTAGCTGCGGCCGCGGGCTGAGTTCAGACTGTTCCCAGCGGTTGTGGAACGCGGGGGTTTTCTTGAACGTTCCCCTGTTCCCCCATGTGTCTCTCCGTGCCTCCCTTGCCGCTGGGAAAAAGAAATACCCGCGACGACTGCTTTCCTCAGTGTAACCATCGGCTGTAAGCAGTGACTTACTGCTATCACGTGTTAGCAGCGCCGTCCTATCATCGTATTCCTCCTCCTCCTCACTGTACAGGGATTCAGAACTGCCGGAATATGGCACCAGGGAGACACAATATTTCTGACTCCCTGTCAAAGACGATCTTCTTGACGAGCTGGCTGTGCCTGCAGGTGGCTTCTTAAACGTCTTGGAGACGTTAGAGGAGACGGAAGGTGTGTGGGAGGGACGCCGAACCGTCTCGTCGACGATGACGGAATAGTCCTGACGTATCTTGCGGAGAGAGTCCATGTTGTTGTGGTGGGGTGAGGGCGTCAGGCGGCTGAGTTGTTGTTGGAATGCATTCAAGGACAGATGTGGATGGTCAACCTCTGACGAGCAATGGCCTGTACAATGGGGGTAAGACTCCTATTAGGGCACATGTTAGATCTGGTTCATTAGACTGTAGCATACGGCTTCCACCTGCTTCACTTCCCATCGGCAGGTGACTAACACCATACTGTGGCAGTTTACAGAAGTAAGAGGCTTAGATATTGAATGCTGTCCCACTGGAACGAAGAAACGTTTTCAGGACTTTTGTTTAAATAGTTTGTATTGACACAGCGACAACATTGTTACAATACTTTTCAATAGTTAGCTACATGTCACTCATATTGTTGACCTATATGTTATGGTACTGCATCCTCTTATCCTGCTGTACATTCTTTAATAGTTATATCATCCCCTCCCAGGTTTTTCGCCATAGAAAACAAGAACTACCGTATTTGACGAAAGTTGCATACGTTCTAGATATGGCTTTTCTAGATAGTATTCAGTTCAAAACAAAGTTTCTTTAGATCAAATGAGTTGTGTGAAACACACCATAGTCTTGAGACAGAAACCTGGACGTTACCTTCATTCCTGCACTCCCGTTCCATGGCGACACAGTCGAGCTTTTCACAGAGTAATTTCGTGTCCAGAGTCCCGACTTCCGGTGAGGTGGGCGTGTTGCAGGGCGTCGCGTCAGCGGACTGGCGCGCCGACTCGGTGTTGTAGCCAGGCGACGCCCTCGTGTAGTGGACCTTCGGCTCGATCTTATCCTCGACCCTCAACTCGTGCTCCTTCTTCCCGCGGCACCACAGCAGCAGGAAGCTGCTGCCGAACGCCACCACCCCGACCATGACGCAGCCGATGCCTTCGAACGGGACTCGGTCTCTCTGACAGAAGTGTCTGTCGTAACACTCGGACAGCAACTGTATGCAGATGACGACCAGGCCAAACACGACCATGATGCCGCCGAATATCCGCAGTGCGTTGTAGAAACAGGTCGGCATGGTGAGCTTGTAACCCTGTACATGTACCTACGTGACAGCCAGCCGACAATGGCGAACACTGAGTCACCGCCAGACCACAAAGCCAAGGCAGACGCCTTCAGGCACCAGAAAAACCATTCACTAGAACAGCAATCATCTCACCAGCTAGCTATGTACTAAAAGCCCGTTGCAGGCACAAAACTCGGACAACACGATCGAATACGGGCCTGTGAGCGCTTGAGTGAACACAGTGATGTAAGGATGGCCTGGTTTTGGCCATGATAACATCCTCTGTTAGTCTGTGTAAGCCTTGTCGCCCGAGGGTACTTCAGGTCATGCCACACCTACGAACCACCTGAGTTTGGGTTGAAGTAGCGTGGGAAAAAAAGAAGTCCCACGTATTTCGAAATCACGGTTTGAAAGACAGATCTAGCTTAATTGACGCCACATACACACGAACGTGTCCAGCTATCCGTAGTCGACAAAAGACTGTAAGTGTTGATACGAAGTTTGCGTCACAGACATGACCCTGTTATGAAATGGACGGCCCCTGTCTATCCAGGTATCCGATGTAACGATTATAGATATAATCCTCGGGCGAGGCCGTGAGAAAGCGGGGGCGAACCGTTAAGGACTACTTAAGAGGACATTAAGACAGGAAACTGCTGTGGTGAGTGATATCATAAAATTAGATGTTCTCTCCACGTACCGTTCAGGAAATGGCCATTTAAGGTCATGAAGTGAGTGAGTTCCACAACTTAAGGACCAAACGCATACCGTGTCGTAATGGATCACAGAGAGAGTGTAAGGTTGCCCTCGAGCGCAAGCCTCGTCTTTTGTTCTCAGACTAAACTACCCTGTAATTACAGTCAGAAATGTTGCGATTACTGCAACAAATGGACACAAGTACATGTGTTGTACAAACTGCTTAATAAGAATGCTGGAAATACTTATCTTAAGCATAGGGCTTACCTGTAGGGTGTTTTAGGCTTGTTATGTTTGTAACACGCCACGAGTCGCCTTGGTCCTCATGTCGAAAATTTCTCATGGATCTATTCTGTAGTGGCTGATGTGACACAAGTCGTTTTGTTTTGCACGCACAACAATAACTACTTGCATGTAATTACTTTTTATGGGGGTTAGTGACAATATATAGCCAATAATCGTTTCGTACAACTAGTCGTCTTGTCAAGTAATACAGGAAATAATGTAAAATCATGACTCTTGGGCTGGTAGTTAAAAACGTGTCGCAAAATAACTTCAGAAAACTTTAGATAGTGACTTATCTGCATTCTCTTGGCGCAAAAAGGAGGTAACAAAAATTAGTTTCCTAGGAAATGTATTGACAATCGAATTGTACAATCAGCACAATGTTTATTAAATACAATTGAAAAATCGTGAGATAATTCAAAAGACAAGATCACCACAAAGAAGGACATGGCTGTTACTTTTTTTCAGGCATTACACTGAACTAAACGACACGTACTCGGTCCGCCATGTATAATCCATGGAACATGACGGGTTCGTCTTCAAGTACTTCTCCTTCTACATATAAAGTTTTCATTCAAACGACACTTGCTAAATCTACAACATTACTAACCGCATGGTGAGTTGTCCAAGCTAGCTTACCTGTTCTGTAATAGATGATGGGAACCTTACGTCAGTTTTCTGTTTTGTAGCTTCAAATGTCCTGACAAGGCTAAAACGAAAAGTACCACAGTTCCATTTGCCCTCTTAGATTCCAGTGAGTTTGCCCTTCGGTATTTAGAACGCACCTTCAATTTTCCTACCGTGCCATGGATCATTGAACGGAAATTTTGTTAGCGTCTTTAACTGACGTCAGCTTATCCTGAAGAGGCCCCACAAAGCGGACAACGCGGACGATGAAAAATATCTTGGATATTCCGCTGTACGAGGAGAAACAGGAGATGGCGTTTGCACTTGTGGTGACGTCAGCTGTGTCAGACTTAAAGTTGATTTGTCCATGGTAAGATCAACGGGGGCTGGCAATGGTGTAGCGGGGCGGATCTCCGTTGGTGAACCGCATGGAGAAATCTGCGTCTCAAAGCCGTCTGCTGTACAGGTTGACAGCCTCCTCATTCGGTGTGTTTTATCGTCCGGGGACTTGTCAAACCAGGGATCGCCAGCTGTGTCATGAGGGGTGGGCGTGGGTGTGTAGGGTACGAGACTTATTTTCCCATGGCTTATTAAAGTAGGGGAAGGCAGAACGACGCGGAGATTTGACACCCCTCGCCTCTGTCCAAGCCCTGGAAGGTTTGCCTGGCTCGCATTACTGGTGACTTCTGCACCAGTTGATGGTTGAGCACTACTTGTCTCTAACCTTTGAGCTTTCTCGGCCGCCTGGAATGCTTGGCTGTTGTCTTTGAAGCGACTTATCTGTGGTGTGCCTGTAGAGGTATTGGCAGTGCGTGTAGGACAATCGTGGTGCGATCGTGTCTGGTTTGTCGCTGTGGGAGAGCTGTTTGATACATCCTCGGTTCCTGATGTTTCGTCGTTCGGTCGGATTATCGTCCCCACATCAATGCAAATTCCCATTCTTTTGGTTTTATAACAGTCTGCACCGTGTTCATCCAGCTCCGAGCCATCACACAAGTCGGGGGTAGCCGGATAAGGTGGACACACTTCATTGACGAGCTTAAACGAAAAAGCGTCTATCTCTCTGTACGATGGACTGAGCCGTTCACGTACTGCGTTTACAACGTGAAGGAAATTCCCATATGCATGTCGCTCGGTGGCGTTGTTTCTTAAAAGTCGCCATTCTGGAATCTTCTTCAGTTTTTCGTTTATAGAAGCTGGCGTGATGCTCGCCCCTTCTCCCATAGGCTGCCCAGAAACGCCTTCCCCAGTGTCTGTTTCCAGAGATGGTCGTTTGGAGTCTGTAGTGTACCCTGGCAGTAGCCGTGTGTAGTGAACTAGTCCGTCCTCCGCTTCGGAGGGACTTCTTTTGTGCTGCACTTCGCTGCACCACTGCAAGGCGGCGCTTAGGGCCACCGCCACGACACCGACCACGACGACTGCGATGCCCCCTGTCGGCATTCGCTTATGATTGCACAAAATCAGACAGCTTTCGACCGAGAGGGTGACAGCTATCATGACACACCCAACAATGAACAACACAATGCCAAGGACTCGGACGGTCATATACACGCACACAGCTTCCTTGGATGCAGCCATCTTCAATCCAAATTTACGTCTAGGAAAGAGAAAATGCAGTATTGTTAGGACCAAATGCTAGGAGGTATTAGCTAAGTTGAATACAAGTAAGTAAGTCAACTTGTTATAAAAGAAGGAAACACAGAAGTATGAGTCAGATTACAAAATTTTCCATTAATATGGCGGACAATAACAATAGTGTTCATTGCCCTGATAGCACCATAACCTCATTGCCAATTATTAACTAGGGAATAAATACAATGGTGTCCATATATGACAGATTGTTCTTGATCTAACCTAACACTATATAGAGGCGTGTATTTGCAAAAGTTGAACTTCAGTTATCATTGCATGGCGCTGAATAGAATCCAATGTGAAGTTCAAATGAAGTTAGGTAAATATATGAAAATTAAGTATATCTACATCAGAAAGTGGCAGATCTATATTTATAAACTTGCAACAGAATCACTCCTTACCTTTTTGCTCACATGTAAATGGCATGGACCCGCAGAATTTTAAATCTTTTGTCGTAAATATTTACGCGGCACGGTGCGTTGAACTCAAATAAGAAATAAACAAACCTGGGCTAACGGCGAGGTCACATTAGTTGTAGGTCACCCTACGATTCTGATGCAATAGAATTTTCAAGCAGACTGTATCAGAAGTAATCGGTGGACAGGGTCTAAGACAGCCTTGTCCGTAACAAGACGCCCAAAGTTTGACAGGGCATATGCATGGCTATTCTAAAAATACTCTCAATTTGCGATCATACGACGATCGCGCGACGTATACGTATGTGGCCGAGCTTGATTTTTAAATGTGAAAATGACGACATAATGCCGCAAGGTAAGTGGCAGATCACGAAGCGAGATAGTTCACACACCCAACTGGCTATTCATAACAATCACCCTGGCAGCAATAACTTGTTTTTATTATAAATCTGCCAACTCTTACTGGCTATCTATCTATCGTTGACCACATGTATCGACAAGAAGTATCGTCGAGAGACTGTTGAGCGATTAAAATTAGATTTGTGTGAGCCTTGATTTCATAACTGGATTATGATCCTCCATGCAAAACTTATTTGAAGGACAACAAAAAAAATCGTTCTTTCTATATGGAATTTGTTGAGCGATCTGTCCAATTATTTCCTCGCCGCTCAGTATTTGCAGCCTCTGGTGGAAAGGGTGTGTCAATGACCTGAAATATGTCTTTTCTTTAAATGTTTCTTTTCTACTGTCAAACTACCTAACGAGTACTAACATTTACAAGTAATCAATATCAATAAATTTCTTTAAACAAGTCGTTGTGTGCGTAGTATGAAGTATAATCAAATAACAAACTTAGGTAAAACTACAAATACTTCTTTTATTATAAACTTAATAACCAAAAGATATGTGGGCGGGGGAGGGGCAGGTTACATGTTTACGAGACACAATCTTGCATGCCAAACTATAATACGCAATACGAATGGTATTAGCTACTATAATAGTATACCTATACCTATATCAATCTACATACTATACATAGTCTACACGCTACATATTGTCTACACAATATACTATATCTAAAGCTCATCTACCATCACAGATAACCGCAATACGTGGGGTGCACCAAACTAACAACGCGTCTGACCCACAACAAACCTGGTTACACAGAAACTAGAACATATAGTTGAAATAGGTAAACCCACTTTCCCTGATGTTGTCACCTGTATAAGTGATAGCTTACCTGAGCTTTTTCCCTGGATAAACAAGCACACTCAAGTAGAAGGCTTTTTTTTCAAGAACTGCTCTTGACAATGAGTGAAGTGAGACCTTATAGAGCGAGGCGTGTTATGATATCAATGCTCAATACTCGCCTTTTATGGTTAGGTAGAGGTCAGCGTAGGCGGGGAAATTTTTTCTACTACAATGAAAGTGAGTAGGCGTTGTATAATGTCCTGCAAAGTTGCCGGAGTGTTGCCTTTAAGCTGGGATTCCGAACCAAAGTCAACATTTCCGGAAATTCGTACGTACATGTGCAAGCCTCGAGATGTTCGTGTCATCTGTGCAGTAGCAGTTCTGTGAATTGCTAATCCCCATTTCCAGGCAGTGAAGTGCAATGAGTGAGACGGAGAGTGCCAGCGGCACTAGTCCATTACACCCCCATCCTATACTAGAGGCTGGGCAACCAAATATTTGGGAGACCGTTCGACGATTTCTTTATAGGCAAAGAACGAATATGTATCTTTTGTTATCTTTAGAATCATGTATTCTGCATCGTATGTCTAAAACCAAAGATCACGAGAATCCAATTCTATTTCTCAACGGCCGTTCAGCAATCGTCTAGTAGAAATAAGCCCCAAGGTTAATACCCACACCCACCCCCTTCCACTAGGGCGACGACCTCGCTGCGACCTAAAATTGTTCAGAGCGCCCAGCGAGCGCTCAATGATTGCCAAGGTCTCTCCGTAATCTCTCAGGGATCACTCAATAATTGCCATGGTCACAAGACTTCCACCAGATGATCTTTTATTCACATGCTGGAAATATGATTTGTACATATTTATAATCTTATAAAATGTATAGAACGTTATCTCCAATATCTTACACCTTTACGTCAGAAATTTCCTTACCTCATTTCTGCCTCTGAAGTTTCTCATCGAGGCATACATGTAGCTGCACAGAATTATTAAGTTATCAGTTTCGCCTTATAGCCCGTCACACAGAAGTACAGTAGGCTACAGGATACAGGATGTATTTCTGTTCGTGAAATGTAACAATTATAAAAAATTGATACCAATAAAATGTATAGATATCTACAGTGATACTCCCCGAAGGAAACCCTGTTGAAAAGTTACGGCTCATGTTAATGCACAAGTAGAATAGCAGGGCGATATCGCATACAAAGAGAATTACAAACCTACTCAGCCTGTAGTAAACACGCGGCCAGGTAGGCCACAATTGACACCCGGTATGGGTTTTCTCAATGCATTTTATAACATTAAAGATATCGTCGGGATGGTTGCGAAGGCACTTTGTCTTGGCGTTACACTTTTGCCCGTAGGATCGCTATCCCTTTAAGATTAGTATCATATTTTGTAATATACTATTGATATTACGGCTCGAGGCAATACATTACTGTACGTTCATTTGCTACATATTGTCGGAATGATACTTATTTTAACCCATTTTGCCTTGCCTTCGCTTGGCAAAGTCCAGTATGATCTCTCTAGTCTAGACATTAAGCATTTGCTTTGCAACTCCTACCTTTCTGGTTAGTATCATCATACTTTTAATTAAAGTGATATAATACGGCTCGTGGCAATACATATAAAGTTCATTTGCTGCTTTAAAAATACATACGACTGCATTATAAAAATTTACAGGCGTGTGGTGACAGATTCAGTGTTGTCAGTATTGTCTGTAATGTCGTCATATTCCGGGGGAAGCGAGTCCGTGTCACTGAAGTCCTCCCTGCCGCCATTTTGTTCATCCGGGTCACACCTGCTCGCGGGGTATGATGGGGGCGGCGATGAGGGCAGCTGTGATTGGTCAGTGTGCAAGGTCATTGGCAAGGTCAGCGCGGAGACGTCCAGTACTGCAGGTGGAGGCAACGGTAACGGTGGAGGTGTCGACTGCTCGTTTACGACGACCGCGACCGGAAGTTGTGCGGTTCCACCCGGAAGTGACGCAGGGTCCACTGACGTCGGTGGAGGTACCGCAGACTCGGGTGATTCGTTGGGATCCCTGAGTTTAAGGGAAATAAAACATATTTTAGTGATAACATATTTTAACACATTCAGATGAGCTACATGAAAGAGTGGTATTCTAAAAAGATTCCACTTCAATCAACTACTTCATCATAATAAAAGCATTTTGACCAACTGAAAGCTAAATACAGGTCACCAAAAGAAAAAGAAAAGAATACAATAAATATAAACAGCCCTTCCCCTGCCTTATACAACTCTCCCTCCGAACAAAAACCGCCACAAATTACTAATCGTCAAGCATATTCGTTGGGGGAAGGACACTATGAAATTGGTCAGGTCGTATGCACTGCCGTATAGTGTCCTGCCCTCACCGGATCTGCTTGGAGGTTTGGCGCATACTCCCCTCCAATGGGTAAAAGTACACAGTAGGACTGTGAGGGGGTCAAAACACATGGGACCTGGGACAAACAAAGTCGTAAAACTGAACGTAAAGGGCAGATCTAGCGCCTCGGGGCCATATACTGTATGCTTCAGCTACATGACCTGCGAATGACCTTTCGGTAACAATTACTACAACAACTCGGGTCAGGGTCATTGAGCTAATTATCAAAGTGGCCACGAAAATGGACCGTTGAAATGTCTAGGAAGGCACTCTAGAAATCCACTCAAAAACGGCTGTGGCTACAATCTGGGACAGAGTGGATTGTTCATACTTGATTTACTTTTTTCAAACCTATAAGGTGGAAAATGATTAAATTATGCACAAGTACAACGTGTTGGTTTGCACGTCGCTACGTGCTTGGCCTGTAAGAATGACTGGATTGTTTGGATGTTGGAGGTAATTGATTTACTTTCTAACCGAAAACTTCGTGATACATTCATAATGGAGCAGAAGACAGTGTGGGAGAGAGAAGCGACCTGCAGGCCGATTTTTGCTTGAATGAACAAAATCCTGTGGCTCGCCTGGACCAACTAGATAATGTCAATCATGACAATACTTGAGGAGAGCAGCGATTGGATGTGTGACTACAACAGCGTATCCTGGCATGCCAGTCACTTCATGTCTATGCTGATTGCTATCAGAAAGTCTTTATATAGGCACTTTCACGTAGAAATACTCTGTGAAATACACAATTATGATAATGTCTATGCAAGTATATCATTACACATGCACGGTCCATTAGATATCACAAGTGACAACAATCAACAGGATCAGAAAATAAGTACACAATACATGTTTAAGAACAGTAACCTTACAACCTAAAAGTGGACGTTCCGATTCTGGACATCACGTGTAGGTACATATATCTAATTGTAGTCAACCGAAACGGAAGCCATTTCGTCCCCAGAAAAATATTCATGTTTGGGAACGCAGACTTTTTCGTGCTCCTAACATGTCATGTATTGAATTCAAACATTATACAATCTGTAAATACCCATATACACGTAATGTTTGCTTTATTGATTATATGTTGGAAAATGTTGGACCAAGGACGAAAAGCTAAAGGATCAATAGACTTTGGACCCCGTTGTCAACATGTTTAGCGGAAACTATCTCAAAATCTGCTTACAGCTACTTCATAAGTAAGGCAAATTCAGAAACAAAATGAAGAAAGGCAACGCCTCACCTGAATAGTGAGAACACCGTCCAGTACGCTGGCGGTGCGTCCAGCGGCCGCTGAGGTTCCCTGGTGACCGGGAGAGCGCTAACGCTGATCTCCATCCGAGGTCTCCTCTGTATCTTCTGGACGCCGCAGTTCGAGTGGACCACCATCATGCCCACCCCTATCGCCAGCAGGCCCATCCCCTCGTACGGGAACCTCATCCGCTGCCCGTTGGACACACTAACGCTGACCGTCACCACACACACGGCACAACCGAGCACGATCAGCGTGAGGGCGGCGACCAGCACCCACCGCCGCCGCCTCCTCTGTGGGCTCTGTCCCTCAGGTCCGCCGCAGCACCCCGGCATGGCAGCTGCTGCATCGGAGACCGCTCCAAGATCTAAACTGTTCTCCTCGCCTTGAAGTTGAAGTTCTACCGTGAGGGAGGGCCTGAAAATGGCCTGCACCCTCCCTACGTGACAACAGCGTACGCTACACTTAGCGTTAACTGATCTGGGCGTCTTTTACTTGTAGCAACGTCTGTTTTTGTACTCTTGCCCGTCCCCTTACCTGATCTACAATGTTCTTGGGGGAAGATTACATCTTAGAACGTTCAGAGTTTGAAATATCCTGGCCGTTTAAAAAACGAAAGCCACAGAACGCTTGTCTCTGCGTCTGGCTGTTTTGTGTTATACAAACAAGCGGTCACGTGATGTTATTCTGTACCTGGTCTTACCTGCCTCACCTGTTTGATCAACCGCGACCGCCGACCTTTGACCTAGGGTAGCGTGAGACGGTCTGACGAGAGTAAACAATCACGGGGCGTGGCATGCCTGTCATCTCCAAGCAGATTCGGTGGGGCAAGGGGTCACTTTATGTTGGCCGCCCGTATCCATTGGCCGCCTGCATCCAACGTTCACCCCACGCCAATGAATACAGGCGGCCAACATAAAGTCCCCTTGCCCCACCGAATCTGCTTGGAGATTAGTATGCCTGCATGTGGATTGTCGTGCAGCAATGTGTCCTAATTAATTCCAACAGTAATCATAAAAAGATGGTAATTAGAAAATTAGGCAATAGAATATTTTGGTATTTTTATAGAAGAAAACATTGTTTTTTCTCTCTTTCTTCTTCTTTTTTTTCTCATTTCAGCACATAAGGTCAATAGTATTATTTTAACCAGATGTCTGTCACTATGGTAACTGGTGCTCTTCAAGCAGCTTGTGTTGTGTTGGATTGCATTACCCAGACAGGACACATACATATGAATGTTAAACAAGCTAAAAGTTTAAGGTAGTGTTTATTTTAGTGATAAGAGGTAATCAAAGGTGGTTTTACATAATGATTATGCATTTGCTTTGCAAATGTTACTTTTCTAGTTATGCTGGTATTTTTCTTAAAATGGTGATTAAATGTAAAGCTGTGACAACAAAACTTGATTGTGTTAAATTGGCTTTTAGATTTTGTAATTCGTTGTAATTGCAGTTTGATGTATGTTATTTCAATTGTAAGTTAGATGTATTTTTTTTTATTTTCCATTGATAGTTCTGAAAAAAAATGTTGATGGCATGACAGCGAGGCGTTTTTTACGCTTCTTTCAGCATGTACAGAGAATCCTAATACTACTAAACAAGCCAAAGCAACCCATAACCTTTGACCCTTGGCCTTGAGCCGAACTTGCCATGTAGCTGCTGCTGGTAGCGGGGAGTATTACATACTCCAAGCGATAAACAAGAGAAAGGTAACTGGTTCATTTTTTCACCATCTACGTACTCTCTTCTTGATCTAATAGAATGATCACCGCTGTCTGTAGAGTTAGATTTGACTTTAGTTATTCGGACAGAACACACAAAGTTATCGTATAATGCTATTGTTTAGTCCCCTCCCCCTTCCGCCACTTGCTCAGAGTTTAAAGTACAGCGACGATACAATATACCGTACAGTACCATGATCCGTTTAAAAAAAAACTCCTCATAATCACCTTAGGAACACATTGTTCTGTAGCAGATAGTCATTATACTCAGGTATTGCACAATTTGTTTAAAGAATTGTTAACGTTTGACAAGAATGTGTTTTAAAGTAGTTCGTACAATTTGTTGTGCTGCTGCAAAACACTTTTATTTCGTGCTCCAGGATGGCTTCGCAGCCCCCCAGCACGGGAGACCCCGTACTCCCGCTGAGGAAGTACGAATACAAGGGGGTCACGTTTCAGGCTTTCACCAACCCCATTGAGAACATCAAGGCCATGGAGACTTTCGCCATGAGAGACGGGGACATCGTCATTGTGGCATACCCCAAGGCTGGTAAGAAAGTAATTGTTGTCTTCTTCACAGAAGCTGAGAAGGAAAACATGTTGTTTTTGCTCTGTCATTCTTCTTCTTTTCCAAAACATGAGGTCAATGACCTGGACCAGCCATCTGTCACCATGGTAACTGTGGTGGTGGGTTTATGTAGCAGGACGGAGCTGGAGGGGCTCATATGAATATCAATGTGTTTGAGTAAGAATAAACAGAGCTGCAGTAGGTTGTTATATAAAATTAGAGAAACTTATATCATGGGAAGGTATTAACATTAGGCATTTGCTTCCGAAATGTTATATCGGGCAAGAACAACAGTGCACCTGAAATTATCCAAATGTCGCAACAACAAGAAAGAATAATTTTTAGCCCTTTCATCAATAAACTGTGAGATGTTTATAAGCAAATTCCTTCCATATCAAGGAACCAATCTCCTGTTTGAAATCCTGCACGGGGTCTTGCACGGAAAGACTCGTCCACCAGAAGACCTTAAGTTCTTTGCCAGACTGGAGTTCACACTTCCAAGGCCGACTGGTCCTGATGTAGTTCACGCCAGACTGACGTCAGCGCCCACGTCATCACCGAGGGTCATGTCAACTCACCTGGCCAGGAGTCTGGCACCACCGGGGCTGGCACGGCCGGACAAAGATGTAAGGACAATGTCATGTTTAATGCATGTCTTTTGGGTTTTCATCATTGTGTGTGTTTAAGTTTGCTTCTTTGTCTGTCGGTATTTGAATACAGTAGAGTGGCGGGAAGTGAAACTAGCCAGCAAATACAGTAGTCAGCCACTCTATGCATTGCTGTAATGTCGTACCCACTTACAAGTTTACTAAACTTTACGAAAAGTCAAACAATAGGGAGCAGTTGTAAAATGGTGATGTTGCATATTCGTCAGTAAGAATGTGCATGTAACTGCCTTGTGTCTTGATTTGATTTTAAAGACGCCATAATGTTTAGCTCCAGATGAGCCTGAGATACTCTGTCACCTGGACTATAGACTAAGGTTTTGTTTTCCTCAACGGAGGTGAATCGTGATGCCTTTTCAAGTAGTTACATGTGCAATGCCTTGTCGCCAAGCACTCTGTATCATCCCTACTCTTCTTGGTAGTTGTGTTGGGTGATACTAAGGCCTTATTCATATGAAACCACCCGAACCGCGATTCGGGTAACTCGCATTCCTCACATCTGGTCCACGTGCCATACATTCCTTTCAAACCGTGTCCGATCACGATTCTCCGAAACTGCATTCATTGTTGTTTGATGAAAACACGCATGCTTGCTGGTGCCGCCCTCCCAGCGTATCTCGGCCGAATGCCGACGTGGTCCCGCCAGAGGCGGTGAAGCTGGTCCTAGAACGGACACATTATTTGACCATTACTTCTCTTTGAGTTGCTGCCACGTAAAATTTGGTATTGCATATAAATAAAGAAATATCACCCCGTAATCTATGACTAGGTGAAGTCACATTGCGTTCAGGCGGGAAAACCGATTCGAAACCACCTCTGGAAGTGGTTTGGGATCGAGACACTTTCAATGTGATTTGGAGCGTTCAGATGGGGCCACTTGAAACCTGCTTCAGGGGAAACCACATGTAAAGCGCCCTCACTGACTTCATATGAACAGGGCCTAAGTGTGAGATACTGATCTGTGGATGAAGTCCCCACTATCACATCTTATGATAGTCTCACTGACTTCATATGAACAGGGCCTAAGTGTGAGACTATACAAATTTATGATCACATCTTATGATAGTCTCCTTCTGTTTCCCAGATTAGAGTGATTGTTGTGATGCGGAATCCTAAGGACGTGGCTGTGTCTTACTACAACTTTTAGAGACAAAACCCGAGTGCACAGTCCCCGAACTCTTGGGATGACTTCTATAGAGAATTTCACAATGGGAAAGGTGAAAATTATATGCATATATTAAAATAGGATGTGTGTAAAAACACTTTGAAATTCATTTAACTTGGCAATTTTTACTTTCTACCATATTACCTGGCCATTTGGACTATACAAAACTGTTCCTTGCTGTTTCAAAATACACTGTATATTTTTTTTAATTGCTGATGTTGTTTTTCTATGTTTTTTCTACACTTCCAGCTGTGTTTGGCTCATACTACGACCACGTGCTGGGCTGGTGGCAGATGAAAGACGATCCGCATTTCCTGTTCCTGAAATACGAGGACATGAACAGGGTAGGTGATGGTAACTTGTCTAGAGAGTGAGAGAGGAAACAATCACGTCTTCAGGGAGGGGGGGGGGCATGCCTTTTTTCCGTAGAACGTACGCGTAATCGGGCCATTTTAATTCTATGTAGAGCGTGTAGACGGACCGCGCAAATTCAACGTGGAGCGTAATTGGCGCATTTTGAGTAGAGCGTATTTTGCCATTTTAATTCTACGTAATGCGTTGTATCTACATGGAATTTATCGTAAAACGTGATGAGGAGCGAGGCTTCTTGAATTCAGCGTGATACTTAGTCAGCTCTCAAAATTTGTGTTACGAGTGTTACGTTGTCGGGACCCCCAAAACAGCATCCCGAGAATCCGCTTTGAGATTGTAATTTTCTAACTCAGGACCTGGAATCAGCGGTGAAATGCATAGCCTCGTACCTGAACAAGAACCTGAGTGACGAGGCAGTCCGAGCTGTGGCCGAAGCCTGCAGCTTCCAGACTATGAAGGAGAGATATGCTCAATCAGCCTACAAACCTTTGCGCAGCGTAACCAGAAAAGGTACGTTTCCACACTCTCCAAACAGATGTTTTATGCTTCTGCTTATTTTTGGCATGTTTTGATTCAGGCATTTTTATCAGGCTTTTTTCCCATTGGAATACTTTCTCGCCAGTGTTGATAATAGTGCATTGGTGTGTCTGCTGGTAGATCTTTGGGCAGTAAGAGGATACATGTACTACCCTGCCAATTCGGTCAGTCTTAGTCTTGCCATGGGCCCTTGATTATGTAAGTATGTAATTTATTAGGACCATACAGGAGGCGTACCTGTAATTTCAGGCAAGTTCACAAGAAGGCGCTGGTGATCCACAACGTAAAATCTAGTATTAATGAAACCACGAATCCACCAAAAGATCTGCTTGGTGATTAACTTTTTTAAAACATACTAGGCAATCTTGATTCCTCAATGGTTCCCATTTTGTTTAAAGATGTATACTAGTATTAAATTTACTTGTTCTGTAGGGAAGATCGGTGACTGGAAGAACTACTTCACACCAGAGCAGAACCGTGAATTTGACGCTGAATATGAAGACAGGATGGCAGGAACAGGACTGAGCTTTGACTTTGAGTAGATGTCAAATTGGAAACCAGTCGGAGATGAAAAATCATTTGTAAACATTTGTTCGTTCCGAGTGGTCATTCTCAGTGTGTTCGTTTTTTTAAATAAATTCAGCTTGACTTATTTTAGGATCTGAATGGTTCAA